ACAACTAATTATTAGTCATTCGGGACGAGGACCCGGTGGTGAATCGTGTCAGTCTTGTGTTAGATGTCATCGCGAACGGGTCGGTCTGCTTAAAGTGCTCGTATCAGTTTCAAGCAAGAATCTAGTGCATATCGCGAGATAGTATACAGGGCTTTCCACGATTGGCGTGAATTAGACGTTAGAAATTAGGTGTCGGGTATTCAAAATCAAGATTTTTCAACTTTTCGAAACGGCTCACATGTCCCTATCTCAACGTTTGATTTACTATCTACTGATATTTATTCAATTGGAACAATAAATACAGGGTGGTTCAAGGTTCAGAATTCTGAACACCCTGTTTCTGTTCCAATTAAATGTCGCTAAATAGTGAATCAAAAGTTAATATAGGGACATGTAATTCTTTACGAAAAATATTGATGGATAGTTTCGATACAAAAAATACTGAAGTTGAAAAATCTCGATTTTGAATTTGAACCTCTGTAATCATTCCCGAGAGACCTCAAGCGTGATGCATTAATGAAATCAGTCAATCAATCGATCGATGAAGTCATTGAGATATCAGATACGGAAATGAAATTGACATAAACGGTATGATTGATTTATCGGTACACAGTAAAAAGGGTAACTTTGTGTTATAGCCGTGGAAGGGGATAATACAAATATGAGGATTTTTCCAGGATATTCCAGAAGCAATGTGAATTATGGCAGATATCCCAGCATTTCAGAACCAATACTCACAAGAACTCTATATTCGTTTGTGACACATCACTTAGGAGCTCAACATCTGTCAGACAGATTAACGGAATATAGAGATTTCCAAGATAAGTTTTCTTGAACATTGAAAATAGAGATCATATTTCTATTCTTCTCCGAACATTTCTTCATAGAAAACAACTTATCGATCATTCAATCAAACAGTCGAAAAATAAGTCGACATTGTGAGTGTATGGAATTACGTCCGGTACCCTTACGAGGGGAGTGTATCAACTTTGGCGTTCGTAATGCCTCTCTACAAAGGAGGATGTCGCCCTCAAGAGTTAGGTATAAACAGTGGTTTCATACTAGTTCTTTTCCAAATTATCTGTGTACTTTTAGATATCAACAGTCGTTGTTTCAATGAAGCAGTGCTCTGAAGGATACACCAATGTTTTCTTCCATAGATGTGGATTATAATGAATAATATATCGCGCCATCAGAGGAGCATAATACTAATCCGATTTTTTTTCAGGATATTTCAGAAGCAATGTGAACTATGGCAGATATCTCATCATTTGGGATCCTGTAGTCACAAGAACTCAATAATCGTTCACGACAATTCAACTAGGAGCTCAAGGTCTGTCAGACAGATTAATGGAATATGGAGATGTCCATGTTAAGTTTACATGAACATTAAATTCAAAATAATACTAATCCGATTTTTTTTTCCAGGATATTCCAGAAGCAATGTTAACTATGACAGATATATCATCATTTGGGATCCAGTACTCACAAGAACTCAAAAATCGTTCACGACAATTCACTTAGGAGCTCAACATCTTTCAGAAAGATCAATGAAATATGGAGAAGTCCAAGATAAGTTTATACATGTTTATATGAACATCAAATTCAAATACAGATCGTTATTTCATTCTTCTTCGAGCATTTCTTCATAAAAAACGACTTTTATTAATCATTCAATCAAAGAGTCGAAAAATTAGTCGACATTGTGAGTGTATGGAATCACGTCCGGTACCCTTACGAGGGGAGTGTATCAACTTTGGCGTTCGTAATGCCTCTCTACAAAGGAGGGTGTCGCCTTCAAGAGTTAGGTATAAACAGTGGTTTTATACCAGTTCTTTTCCAAATTATCTGTGTACTTTCAGATATCAACAGTCGTTGTTTCAATGGAGCAGTGCTCTGAAAGATACATCCATGTTCTTTTTCATGGATGTGAATTATAATGAATGATATATTGCGCAATTAGAGAAGCATAATACTAATCCGATTTTTTTTTCAGGATATTCCAGGAGCAATGTAAACTATGGCAGATATCTCATCATTTGGAATCCTGTACTCACAAGAACTCAATAATCGTTCACGACAATTCACTTAGCTCAACATCTTTCAGACAGAATAATGGAACATGGAGATGTCCAAGATAAGTTTTCATAAACATTGAATTCAAAACAATACTAATCCGATTCTTTTTTCAGGATATTATAGAAGCAATGTGAACTATATGGCAGATATATCATCATTTGGGATCCTGTACTCACAAGAACTCGATAATCGTTCACGACAATTCACTTAGGAGCTCAACATCTTTCAGAAAGATTAATGAAATATGGAGAAGTCCAAGATGAGTTTTTATGAACATCAAATTCAAATACAGATCGTTATTTTACTCTTCTTCGAGCATTTCTTCATAAAAAACGACTTTTATCAATCATTCAATCAAAGAGTCGAAAAATTAGTCGACATTGTGAGTGTATGGAATCACGTTCGGTACCCTTACGAGGGGAGTGTATCAACTTTGGCGTTCGTAATGCCTCTCTACAAAGGAGGGTGTCGCCTTCAAGAGTTAGGTATAAACAGTGGTTTTATACTAGTTCTTTTCCAAATTATCTGTGTACTTTCAGAAATCAACAGTCGTTGTTTCAATGGAGCAGTGCTCTGAAAGATACATCCATGTTCTTTTTCATGAATGTGAATTATAATGAATGATATATTGCGCAATTAGAGAAGCATAATACTAATACGATTTTTTTTCCAGGATATTCCAGGAGCAATGTAAACTATGGCAAATATCTCATCATTTGGAATCCTGTACTCACAAGAACTCAATAATCGTTCACGACAATTCACTTAGGAGCTCAACATCTTTCAGACAGAATAATGGAACATGGAGATGTCCAAGATAAGTTTTCATAAACATTGAATTCAAAACAATACTAATCCGATTCTTTTTTCAGGATATTATAGAAGCAATGTGAACTATATGGCAGATATATCATCATTTGGGATCCTGTACTCACAAGAACTCGATAATCGTTCACGACAATTCACTTAGGAGCTCAACATCTTTCAGAAAGATTAATGAAATATGGAGAAGTCCAAGATGAGTTTTTATGAACATCAAATTCAAATACAGATCGTTATTTTACTCTTCTTCGAGCATTTCTTCATAAAAAACGACTTTTATCAATCATTCAATCAAAGAGTCGAAAAATTAGTCGACATTGTGAGTGTATGGAATCACGTTCGGTACCCTTACGAGGGGAGTGTATCAACTTTGGCGTTCGTAATGCCTCTCTACAAAGGAGGGTGTCGCCTTCAAGAGTTAGGTATAAACAGTGGTTTTATACTAGTTCTTTTCCAAATTATCTGTGTACTTTCAGAAATCAACAGTCGTTGTTTCAATGGAGCAGTGCTCTGAAAGATACACCCATGTTCTTTTTCATAGATGTGAATTATAATGAATGATATATTGCGCAATTAGAGAAGCATAATACTAATCCGATTTTTTTTTCAGGATATTCCAGGAGCAATGTAAACTATGGCAGATATCTCATCATTTGGAATCCTGTACTCACAAGAACTCAATAATCGTTCACGACAATTCACTTAGGAGCTCAACATCTTTCAGACAGACTAATGGAATATGGAGATGTCCAAGATAAGTTTTCATGAACATTGAATTCAAAACAATACTAATCCGATTCTTTTTTCAGGATATTACAGAAGCAATGTGAACTATGGCAGATATATCATCATTTGGGATCCTGTACTCACAAGAACTCAATAATCGTTCACGACAATTCACTTAGGAGCTCAACATCTTTCAGACAGATTAATCGAATATGGAGATGTCCAAGATAAGTTTTCATGAACATTAAATTCAAATACAGATCGTTATTTTATTCTTCTTCGAGCATTTCTTCATAAAAAACGACTTTTATTAATCATTCAATCAAAGAGTCGAAAAATTAGTCGACATTGTGAGTGTATGGAATCACGTCCGGTACCCTTACGAGGGGAGTGTATCAACTTTGGCGTTCGTAATGCCTCTCTACAAAGGAGGGTGTCGCCTTCAAGAGTTAGGTATAAACAGTGGTTTTATACCAGTTTTTTTCCAAATTATCTGTGCACTTTCAGAAATCAACAGTCGTTGTTTCAATGGAGCAGTGCTCTGAAGGATACACCCATGTTTTCTTTCATAGATGTGGATAATAATGAATAATATATTGCGCATTCAGAGAAGCATAATACTAATCCGATTTTTTTTTTTCAGTATATTTCAGAAGCAATGTAAACTATGGCAGATATCTCATCATTTGGAATCCTGTACTCACAAGAACTCAATAATCGTTCACGACAATTCACTTAGAAGCTCAACATCTGTGAGACAGATTAATGGAATATGGAGATGTCCGAAATAAGTTTTCATGAACATTAAATTCAAAACAATACTAATCCGATTCTTTTTTCAGGATATTCCAGAAGCAATGTAAACTATGGCAGATATCTCCTAGCCTATTGCCGAACTTATATACACATTGTTTTTTCAAAAAAAAAACATGGATTTTTTCTAGCTCAACCGTCCAGCTAGCAGAACCAAATCTCGAATAGGAGGAGTATAAGAATAATTTAAGGCTAGTTTGAGGCTTTCATCGATTTTTTCGGAAATTACGTCATGGTTAAAAATAATGAAATGGGACTGGATTATCAGCTTCAACCATGACGGGCATCTTACTTCGATATGACGGGTAATGTGAATGACACATTCCTTTTGGTTTTGAAAATGATGGGAGTAAAGCAGTAAAGTAAGCGCATTCGGCAATTATTACGTATCTTACTTCAAGCTTACTTCCATCATTGTTTTGAAGTATTCTGAATCTTCTTTTTCTTTAGGAAGATTACAATAATGACTTGACTATGACATATTATTCTTATTCTTTTTTGATTGTTGACATATTTACATTTTTGAGTTTTTGACAATTTCGATTTTGACATTTTTGACTGACAACCAAAAAAAAATGGAATCATTCAGGGTGAATGTTTATTTGTAAATAATAAAGAAACATGAATTTGCAGTCATTATTTCAAGATTTCAACCCAAGGTAAATAATCATTTGAAATCTCTTGATACCGTGATTAAAAATATACCCAAACGATATCCAAATGATTTCATAGCAATAGCAATAACATAACCTCTTCACCATTTTAGCAAATTTGTTGTACATACATGTCTTCTTGTATTCACCATTCTATTTGCCTTGAAATTAGACAACTGTATAACATGGACTTACTGGACTGTCTTCACACCTATTTGGGTATGGAAAATTCTTGTTATTTTGGGGGCAACTGTAGGTAGTTATGTGTGGTGGAGATACCCACACTTCAGGTAAGCAGATCAGCTCCTCAAGCAATATGGGACCTTGAAGAATTTTTCGGATATTCCAGGTTAGAAGGTGAAGCTTATGTTCACTACAAATCAATGTTAATATCACTGGCATTACATCTTATATTGTTAATGTTTGAATTACTTGTATGTGATAAACTTGAATCAGCAAGACATTTGTGGATCCTTGTATTCATTCCTTTGATCTTCATTTCAATAGTTAGTATTGCAGTCTGTATATGGGCTGTGAAACATGATAGATCATTTGAGGTAAGCTACTACATAGCAGTGTGGTGTTTTCTGTGTTTTTCTGGAATATTGCTTTTTCAGCTGGAATTATTTTGTGCTGTGAATGTCCTCCAATTTATATTCCTTGCCTTGAGGTTGGATGGTTTCATAGCTTGGTCATGGGAAGTGGTTTTTGTACCTCTATGGATAGTTATGTGTCTCTCCTTGGTAAAATTTGTGTAGTGATGATATGCCTGAGAGTACAATTATGTATTTCAGGTTGGTGTTTTGTACACTATTATATTTGCAGCTATTCTACTTCGTACTCCTGAAGTAAATGCTCAACAAAGAAGAAGTAGTTTTCATTCAGCCTTAGGTTATACATTTCTTGTTATACCAATTCTGATATTTCAGGTAAGTGTCCTATCTCAAACAATGTTTGGTGTTGAACATGAACTTAAAAATACTATCCAACAGTATAAATCAAAATAAAAAGAACTTGATACCTACCAATTTTGTTTTCAATTTAATTCTTAATTTTTCCATAAACCTAATGTAGGTTCAGAGTTCAGATATCAATTACTCCTACAGGTAACCAGTTGACTTTCATTCCCAAGCATTTGATCTTCTAGATCTCTTAGATATATGAATATTCATATATACATGTTTGTTCAATATTAATATGATTGTATGACATGCTCTATACCATTCTGTATGTCCTTGTTAGAGTTAATAAAGATCTTTCTTTCTTTCTTTGATCTCTAAATTTCTGATTCTCCAGGAGTAGGTAATTAAATGTGTCCTTTTATTTTCTGAATAATGATTATTAATTATTTCAGGTATTATTAGCAGACAAGTTAGATGATGATATTAGGATATCATATACTGCAGTAGTTAGCCCCCTGTTTGTATCTTTTATCACCCTGATTCTGATGTCATTTAGTGCCAAAGGTGGAAATAAGTGTAAGTAAAAAAGTTGATATAGGTAGTTTGATAGAAATAATTTTTATTAGAAAGAATTACACACAACTCTACAAATATTTTCAATTGAAGAGGGGAATGTTCTTCAAAAAGTGGCATTTTTCATTGTCAAATCACAAAAGTCTCCATATTCAGCTACAATAAATATTATACTAAAATTCAAAAAATCACAATTGAAAAATGTCATGTGAACCCATTATCTTAGGAACATCAAGAATAATTATCATCAATGTTCTGCATTGGGCATTAGTATTATTAGTTCTCAAAGCTTTTAAGATTTTACTGGTTTTTGAACTGATATCACAGAATTAATATTTTGATATTTAAAACACCATTATATACATCAAGATTTGTTTCAAGAAACAGGTACTGGTTTGATTTGCTAGTTTTTTTAAGTTCTCTATTCAATATTATGTACAGGGTGATTGTTTATATATTACTCAATAGCTCAGTTAATATTGCCTGAGGAAGTATTCCCAACAACATATAATCTCCAGAAGTTCAAAAAAAATCCAATACCTACCTCCTGTCCCTATCCTCCCTAGGAACGCACGATGTTCTTTGAACATTATAGGGATTTCCTTTCGTGCGCTCCAAACGATAAAAAAAATCGAAAAAAAAAAAAAAAATTTCAAGTATGACACCCTAAAAGCGTCACAAACCACAAATTATTTGTTTGCAGCATCTCGTTGGAAATTTATATCATTCCGTGCTGGTTGAACAATATACTACTGTTCAACTAATTAGTTTTGAAAAGGATGTATTTATCTACTGCCATATACAGGGTGTTTCAAAAAAACCTAACCCCCTTGCTAGGGTAGGTAGAACATTGCAAAATAAGTTGGGTTTGCTCAGTGAAAAAATGTCGTAACGGCATCCGTTTTCATGATACAAGGTATTGAACAAATTATTTTTTTACACATTTTTCACGATATTCCGAAACTACTTGCAACATTGTAATGAAATTTTGTATGGATGTTTCTTGAAATCTGACACATCGCATGAATTTGTTTTTGTATCCGACTCTCATAGAGGGCGCTAGCTACACGGTTCGTACCGAGTAGTTTTGAACATAACTTTTTTGAGGTTAGATTTTCAATCCAAATATGATATGACATGAATATCATTCAATTTTACACCAAAAAGATTCTCCTGGTGAAACTCCATACTATGTTCCGTTTTCGGAAAATTTCGATTCGAAAATAATGGAGTAGTGATGCTGGTATAAAATAAATTTTATTGAGTGCAATTGCCTATTCATTCAGGTTCAAAAACAATAAAATTATTCTTATGCTGAAGTTATTGATGGAACAGAGAATCATAAGTAGAAAATTAAGAGATATTTGACTAGAAATATGAAATATTGAATCAGAGTAAGTGTTCAAAATGTCCTACGTTTCGATCGAGGAATACACGATTCTATATTCTTTTTTAAAGAATGTATTATTCTTCTGAACAGTTGAGGATCAGCTGTTAGGTCATTCAAGTGATGTTCAATCATGTCTCACAACTCTTGACGTGAATTTACCTATGTAGCATAGACTTTCTGCTCAAGATACAACAAAACTGTGTAATCCATGTTCTTAGTCAAATCTGTTTCGATGTTATTCTTGTGATTCATTGTTAAATCAATGAGTTTTGCATCAGAAATGTACTGTTGTTTTCGGTTTCCAATAAATAAGTGATAATTATTTTTCATAATACTCACTCTAATACATAGCTTTTATACCAGCAACAGTTACCACTTCATCATTTTCTAATCGAAATATTCCGAAAACGGAACACAGTATAGAGTTTTACCAAGAGTACCTTTTTGGTGTGAAATTGAATGATGTTCGAGCTCACATCAAATTTGGATTGGAAAATCTAACCTCAAAAAAGTTATGTTCAAAACTACTCGGTCCATGGTACGAACCGTGTAACTAGCGCCCTCTATGAGAGTCAGGTATAAAAACAAATGTATGCGATGTGTCAGTTTCCAAGAAACATCCATACAAAATTGCATCACAATGTTGCCTGTAGTTTCGACATAATCTTGAAAAATGTGCCGTTACGGAATTTTTTTACTGAGTAAACCCAACTTATTTTGCAGTGTTCTACCTACCCTAGTAAGGGGGTCAGGTTTTTTTGAAACACCCTGTATATTTTCCATTTTGTATAGGGTGGTTCGGGATGCGAAAGGACTTCTGTTCATTCGTGCTCGGCGCTTGTCCCCTTTTACAAGAATATGCCAATATTGCTTACAATACCGAAAGAAGCACAAACGGTGTGGAATTGGAGCAACAATTAGACAACAAAGACAAAACAGTGAAGAGAGCTGACCTTATGAAGCCCGTTTTGCCTATTGTCGCGATAGAGATGCCAGACTGAAATTACTTTAGCATAAGACTAATTTGTGGATTTTTTGAGGAAAATTGATGTTTTTTGACTAGTAGGTGATTGATGATCAGTAGGAGAATCATTCATTATATTGGAAGAGTTACTGATGGCTTGTGATATTTATTATTGTGTATTATTGTTGATATTGCATGAATGGTTCACACTCCATTTTGGGAAGTTATTCCATTTGTAGTGGCGTATAAGAAAAGTTTCAGAGGCTCTGGAATACTCCTTCCTTATCAATTAGAAGTTTTGAGAGTTTATCATTTGTTGGAGTGACTTTAGAATGACACATTGCAGTGTCATTTGCAAGATTTTGATTTCCATTACACTAAATTGACAGTTAACTTCCATATCATGTTGATTAATTTATGGCCTAGTATGTGATACGGACAGAATTTTCGGGAATTGTGTCAATAATTGGTACTCGAAAATATCAAACAAAACTCGAATATTATAATTTCATTTCCTGCACTAAATAAATTCCATTTCATATTCCATATAGTTTTCATCGTTGAAGAAAAGAAATTTCGGAAACTTGTCTGAATTCCCAAAAATTCAATTCGTTTCATGTTGTCAAAAAGTGAAATTATTAAACATAAAATATTGGGTTTTCATCACTCCCTAGTATTAAATTGAACTTGAAATACCTATCAAAAACAGATGGACTTTCATATCATCAGTAGGTACCTACCTATCATTTAAAAAATTCCTTACATTTATATTTTATAATTGGAGAAGGAAATGTTGAGTACGCCACTGCCTATTTGTTTTTTTTTTCAAATTTCTCAGTTGAGTTCAATCGGATGTTTAGGTATTTTGTACTTATTGTAGTTTTGTAATATAGTATTCTCAACTTTTGACAGAAAATCAAGAATTTGTTTGATTTGTTATATCTTCAGGAACCTATACCTCTACCTCTACACATTTTTTCCTTAAACTTTTTTCTCACGGAATGATCACCAGAAATGATGATGACTTCCTTCAATAATCAAATACCACATAATATATTATCAAATATTATATTACGTTTCTGTTGTGTTTTTTGGTATATAGATATTCTGGGTGGGCCGCATTTATCAAGAGAATCGACCTCAACAACTACCATGAGAAAGGGTGTTGAAAAAAACAATCAGGATCCTACAAAGTATCTTTTATTTTGTCTTAGTCCTAAGTTCTACATAAATATTTTATACACTTTTATAATACAAGGTCATTCTCATAGTAGGGGATCCTACTGCAAGATCACTACGTCCATCAAGTATTCAATGAAAATCTGATTTTTTATTTCAATTGCCTATCCAAATGTGACCGCAAGTATTTTAAATTAAAATAATATCAATTGATCATTAGTACAAGTACATAATACACAGCATTTTTTTTATTGTTGTTAATCTGAAATATGTTGAAAAAAAAAAGGAAGAAGTGATTTCTGTGTCATAAAGATTATTCGCGGGAATCAATGTCACCAGGAGGCGCTCGGTTTTCATCGTTCCATGTCAAAGCTATGTCAAAACTGGGGGAAAACAAACTCATCAATCCTCACTCAATCCCATTAGTGTCATTAGCTTGTGTACTGTGTACTAATAAGTGATGTTTTTAAATTTCTTGACATTAATTGTCAATATTCGATCGAAAACGCCTGTTGTAGATGTTCTTTTGGCAGATATTTTGCTCTATTTAGATGGAAAAAGCCGACCATTAGTGGAAGGAGAAGCAGTTCTCCGTGCTAATCATATGATTTTGTGTGAGGCAGAAGACTTCAACAAAAGGCACATTTTTGCACTTTGTCTACAAACTTCGGCAATGAAATCTTCCTCACATGAAGTAAAATTGAAGTTGGGGTCCAGAGGAACTCCGGTAGAACGATGGATTTGTATTAGTTCCTGCAAAGCAGGACAATGGTATTGTAAACATGTTGTAGCTGTTCTTTTATATTTCAATTGATTTGCTCGTCATATTTAATAAACTAATAAATGTAAAAAAATTAACCAACTCAACCAACATCACTACCAACAGTGCCAACACTTTATGTCATTGACAAGTTTGACAGCTATAGCAAGCTGTATGCACTTTATCCATAGACATCAGTTTGTTTTCCCCCAGTTTGAAGTTTGTATTATAAAACCTAGATGTCGCCCACTTCGTGAATCTCGCGAATAATGTGCTCTATTAATTTAATCAAAAATACTTGTGACCACATTTCTATAGGAAAGCTGGTAAAGATATATTCTCTCAATCATGTATATTAATGTTAAAATTAGATTTATAATAAATACTTGATGAAAATAATAATCTTGCAGTCGGATCTTAGACTATTAATAGTACTGCAAAGCAATATTCAGCTTTAAATGTTTGGCATTATCAAAAAATATTATGATGACAGCTCTATTCACGAAATTTTTTGAGGTAGAGAATGAAATAATTGAATCCAATAATTATTTTGTATCCAAAGTTCCTTTCAAGATCTACAGGGTGACTAGTCTGCTCACAAAACTTGTGTAGCAACACTATTGGTGAAATAGATGAACGCCCCCGCCAAATTTATAAAGGTAGCACCCAAAAAGACAGACATCCACTTCCCATCAGAATAAGTAACCAAACTAGCCGTCACCGGCCCACACAAAATACCAGGAATGGTGGCAATGGTATTACTGATAGCAAAAGTAGTTCCAGCATGATTGGGAGCCACATCCACATGATTACTCAAATGCCCAGCAGAGTTGCTAGCCGACAATCCCAAAGATATACTAACAAGAATCAAGGCAAAGGCCAAATGATCCACCACACAGAAAATCGCCAGGAAAAGGGCTGGTCCCACCAGCCCTATGCAAGTCATCAGCCTCCTCACATTCAAAACTGACCAGCTCTTGTTGCTCAACAGCCCATCGGCCACATGCCCACTTATAACCCCGAAAATGGAGTTCACAATGTAGGGCACAGCAGTTAAACTCAAACTATGAGCATTGCCACCCAAATAGCTGGACAAATAAGTGGGTAACCACTGCATTATGATATAGGAAGACCAGTTCATGGCGAAATGAGCAGTGTATATGGCCCACAGAGGCTTACTGAAGATGAAATCAGCCCAGCATATGCTGTGGGAGATGACTTTTGGCATCAGCAAAGGCAGGGTGTCATCATTGTAGCCATCATCAGGGTAAAAACAGTACCACAAGAGCACCCAGAGAAGTCCAAAGGAGCCAAACCAGTAGAAACAAGCTTCCCAAGACAGATGTGGGCAGAGGACTGAGGCAACTGTTTGCCCCACAGAACCAGAAGCCAAAAGATAGGAAAATGCTCTGGACCGCTCTTCCAAGGGAATGCTGTTGGCAAACAGGTGGAATATTGTGGGTAAACCTGAAAAACATGTTTTGTAGACACAAGTTACATACTTGGAGTTTTTGGTAATTTTGCACTTATCATGTGATGGTTTTTTTTTTCGAAAATTTTTTTGGAACTTACGTATTTTTGTCTGAAAAACACGAATTTGATAATGAAAATGTGAACAAACCACTATTTATCGAGATATTTCAAGAAAAAGTTCGAAATTTTGCCTTATTTTCCCCCTTGTGTTGGATGCATTTACAGGTACTTGATCTTTTTATTTTGTCATTGGACACTTCATATTCGCGAGATTCACGAAGTGGGCGACATCTAGGTTACATAATACGAACTTCAAACTGGGGGAAAACAAACTGCTGTCTATGGATAAAGTGCATAGACTACATTGCATACAGCTTGCTGTAGCTGTAGTTGTCAAACTTTTCAATGACATAAAGTGTTGGCACTGTTGGTAGTGATGATGGTTGAGTTGGTTAATTTTTTTACATTATTACATTTTTATAGGTTTAGTGAACACTGAACGGGTGAAGAATTGGAGATAGTTCAAACAATTCAAACTAATTATGAGTAGCAAATCAATTGACATATAAAAGAACAGCTACAACATGTTTACAATACTCAGATTGTCCTGCTTTGCAGGAACAAATACAAATCCATTGTTCTACAGAAGTTCCTCTGGACCCCAACTTCAATTTTACTTCATGTGGGGACATTGTGGGGAAGATTTCATCGCCGAAGTTTGTAGACAAAGTGCAAAAATGTGCCTTTTGTTGAAGTCTTCTGCCTCACACAAAATCACATGATTAGCAGGGAGAACTGCTTCTCCTTCCATTACTGGTCGGCTTTTTCCATCTAAATAGAGCAAAATATCTGCCAAAAGAACATCTACAACCGGTGTTATTAGCGTTTTCGATCGAATATTGACAATTAATGTCAAGAAATTTAAAAACTTATCACTTTTATCAGTACACAGTACACAAGCTAATGGCACTAATGGGATTGAGTGAGGATTGAGTTTGTTTTCCCCCAGTTTTGACATGACTTTGACATGGAACGATGAAATCCCAGCGCCACCTGGTGACATTGATTCCCGCGAATACTCATGATGTACTTCAATGACACATTTTAAGCTAGAAAATTCAACAGAAAATATGATTTTTATGGCGAAATTTTCCTATTTAGTGAGCAAGCATACCAGATGATGGCCATTTAATCCATAGGCAATCCAAATACTAGATGTCAAATGTCAATAGATTGCTTTGGAAATGACATTACACATGCCATTATTTCAAATGATATTCTTTTTTCTTTTCACTAAACATGGATAAATTACAAGAAAATCATATTTCTAGTTGACTCATATGATAGAAAAAATGTGTCCAACATTGTGTGATATATATAAATTGTCCAATGATGGGAAAAGAAGGGCAAATTGTTCTAAATGCCATCCAGACAGGTGGAAAAGAAGGTGAAATTTGTAACTCTATAGTGAAATATCTTAATAAATAATGGTTTGTTCTCATTTTCATCATCAGATTCCTGTTTTTCAGACAAAAATACACAAGTACCAAAAAAACAAATTTCCGAAAAAAACCCATGATAAGTGCAAAATTACTGAGTTTTTTTTTATTACCTAGACCTTCAGCAAAACCAAGAATTATTCTACAGATCACAAGGGCTGTTATATTACTTGCTAGAAATGGGGTGATGAATGTTGCAATGCTCCACAAGAGTACACTGCATATCAACACCTTTTTTGCTCCTAACTTTGTGGCCCAAAAACTACCTGAAATCACATAGGATGTCAACTTTGCTCATGTTTCTGAGGTTCATCAGCAGGATTTACCTAAAATCTGACTAGTAAAATACCCAAAGGCAAATGCAGAATGTATCCATCCCTGGGAGTGTAAGCTCCAGTTGAAAATATCTGTCATTGGTACAATAGCAATTGGCATTATAACTCTGTCTGCACTGTTGATGAAATTTGCGAAGCTGCACAAGGCAACTATCCTTGAAGTTCTTGTCCATCTAAACCTCAACATTTTTCTCCCTCACATGAAAATCTAGTTATTGAGTTTGTTCTCCCTGTGGCACAACTTGTACACTCAAAAAATCTCCTTCACATATCTGTCCACTTTCATGTTTATCCATCACCCCATTAGTATCTCTCTGAGAGGATTTCTTTCCTAATTAATAACTAAAAATTAAATATGATTTTCTTGCCCAGCTGGCTAAAATGACAACAAACAAGTAAACAACACAACAGTGAGATCTTTTATTTTGGTGACATGGACAATATCCCTTTGTGTACGTGTACTGTGTACTTGGCTTAGCTGAGACTAATTGTTGGTAAAAAAGAAGAAGAACTGAATATCTTCTCTTCTTTTATCACAAGCGTAGCCAGACTAGCCAGTAGCATTTAAGCACGCTGCACCAGGGTCATTGTGTCATTCGACACACATATTCTCATTGATTTCTCATTATAAATACGTTTTTTTTTTATTTTGATTAATTTGTCCTCATTATGTGATTTTAATCTCATTGCATTATGACTTCTTTATTTAATCGGCTTTAAAAACCGCGTGCTTTCAAAATTTTTTAAGTTAAAAATACCGGGTGTCACACAGGGGCGGCTTACCCCTACAGGGGCCCGATTCTCAAATCGAATTCGTACCCATGGGAAAAATTTGATATTTCCCATGGAAATTTGAGATGATGTATTCTTGAACTATTGTATGGGAAACTATTCCTACACATTTCAAGAGAACTGCTTCCCATGGTAATACTCATGGGAACAACATGTTTCATATAGGATACACTCATGAAGTTATTCTCATTTGTGATGGGAACTGAACCTTAGTGAAAAATCGGAAAAACATATAATATTGCAAAATATGGAGATGAAAAATAAATAAGAAAAAAGAGATTGAATCAGATTGAAAAAACGATATCTCGAAATTTTTTACATTACTTAAGAATTTCAACAGAAGTTCAAAATAGTTTTCACCGGACATTTGAAAAAGATGTATTTCTGCAAAAAAATGCAATTCTATGTTATTTCCATTTTATATCTTAAAAATAGAAAATTTATCATATGAACCATCTTAAATATATTTTTCTTCATAAATATTTTTGAGAGCAGCCTATATGTTTCTGTTTATTTTTTTAAGGGTGGAAAAAATACAATACTCTATAGAAAAGATGTTTTCTTATATATTATACTGTAATAAATTATTTGACATACATCATTTTCTTTTGACTATAAAATATAAATTAATTTTAAGCACTGTTTTTAAAACTTCATTCCATCTAAGGACAGCATAATTATTTGATTTGTCATAATGGTTGAGTTGGTAATAAATAATTTTATATGAGAGCATTTTTTGTCAAACTCTGCTAATTCATTGTTTTTTATGATACCTCCTTATTCCACCTATGAATAGATTGTTGGTGTAGAATGAATACATGCCATTTACTAATAATTTCATGAGAAGGTTGTAGGTATAACCAAATTTACATGAGTAATTGTTTAATTGTTAAAAAAACTGAAATTTTGTTCAAGAGACTACTGTATATGGAGCTGTATACTGCATTTTTTTTAAACCGTATACCATGTTGATATGATCAAACATATTTATGAAAAAGGGTTTTTGATAACAATGAGATGATTTATCCCAGGAAAAGGAAGTTAAAAGTTTAATTAAATTAAATAATATAATAAAAAAGTTACTGGATCCTTATAAAATATTCCCAAATACACACTTGCTTGTCTACCATGTGCAAAGTTTCATCTATAAATATAAAAAAAATCACAAAAAATATATTTATCAACACATTATCTCACTTGCAGATTTAGTTTTACAACAATAACCAACTTTGAAATGTCTAATGTTCTAATTTTCACCTCTGCAAAGTCATTATAATTTTACATGACTAATTCAATCATATTTTTGATTAGTTGAGACAAGTATTAGGCTAAAAGTAACTGCCGAATTTCGTTGTTTTCTGTGGACTCCAAGTATGTCTTCCCATCAGGAGCAACCCCATCCTTTTTGGCACCTTTATCCAGTAGCAACTTCACACAATCTCTATGTCCCTCCCATATTGCTGCTAATATAGCTGATATACCAAATTTGTCCTTTGACTAAAATTATAATAACCAATCCAGTGACATCATTGAGAATGTATCAAAAGGTATGATGATAAATATTTTATTTTTTGTAGGTTTTCAAGAGTTATCACTACCTTGGTACCTTTTTAAACTCTAGTGCATCATATCTTGACACTCACACTTGATAAATAAACTTATGTGGAATTAGATAAATCAAGTTTGGATTGTTCCTGCATATTTCATTCAGACCATTGAATTAATTTGATTGTTCATTTGGCTCTATCCTTGGCTCTATCTCATTCATTATGCTATGTATGGTGCATAGACTGTATAGTACATTCAATTACTTACTTTTAGTGTTTTCAGCCTATTCATATTATGACAACAAAATCTCTTGGGATTAATGACATATAAGCCATAGATTGTACACTCATTCAATTTGGAATATTTGATGACTGTCCTCACACTTGAATGAATCACATGGATTTATATGAATAAGCATATTGATGGAACAAGATGGTTCAAAATTATTAAAATTACCTCTACTTCATCAATGTTATACAAGGCATAATAAATAGGTAAGGTACTCAAGTTGTTTTAGGTTTTTGCCAACAGGAGAATGCATAATAATGCATGTATGAAAGTTTTGGATAATGAAGAAATTTGAAGTCAACACACCAACCAGTATTTTCCCAACTCATAATGAGTGAAGTCAAGCATAACAAAAGTAATTATGTGATGACAAGGCAATGGTTTTTCTTCACTAGTGTAACATCAAATCACCTGTTATATTATTGCTTCATTCAGGGTTCTAGTGTTGTACTTACATTCACATCTGCTCCTACAGATATCAAATATTCAATAACATCTGCTTGGCCATAATCTGCAGCATACAAAATTAGAGGACGTCCCTGGACTTCTTCATTCACATTAACGGCCTAAACAGTCAATTCAATAATGAAATCGGGAGAATGATAAATCAACAATCTACCTGTTACCTTTTTCTCAATGATATCTTTGACCTGCTCGAGATCTCCGTTTTTAATTGCCCATACAAAATCACCGCTCATCGTGAAAACTATTTCTACTCTCAACTCAAATGAAATAGGATAGGTAGAAATTTATGAATAGGTCCTAGAAAAAAAACTAGAAATGTCACAAAAGAAATAGAAGTAAAGAAGATGACTTTTATCTGTCTGTCAATAATGTCGCTTCTCACTATTTTTTCTTCTTATTTTATCTCTTGGCGTCAGGAGGTTGGTGAGAATTGAGGCATGTTGGGGTTGAGGTTACCTAATATTATGATTAATTGATGGACAATGGACAGAACAGTTATTTTTGAAGAAGATTCTTCTAACCTATTTTACACGTAAATAGTAAATATAATTTTTATATTTATGAAATTGAAAATATTGGAATATCGAATTATCAGAAATACATAAGTATGGCTTCAGGTTTGGATGCCTTCGTTAACCGTATCCTTTGAGAATTAATTGTTAGATTATCTATTTACGAGTCTATTTAACAATGATATTTCCTCAACAAAATTTCCAGATACAGTATCAATAATCACCTCTGATGGAAGGAACTTCATAGTGAGTATTTTATGAACTCCTATTTATTTATTGATAGCTATAATGTGGCCACTTTTTTCCAGGGAACTTTGAAAGGTTTTGACCAAACAATCAATTTAATTTTAGATGAATCTCATGAACGTGTTTATTCAACCACTACAGGGGTTGAACAAGTAATGCTAGGACTCCATATAATAAGAGGTGACAATGTGTAAGTTTGTGTCTCAGTTCATTCCATATTAGTTCCTTCAGGATCCTTCATTATTCAATCATCAGTCAATGTTAACGCTCAATTCTTGAGCAGTCCTAATTAAGATATACCTTTGAGATTTTTTCTCTATCAATTCAAAGGTAATCTGAAAACAAATGCTTATAATACTATGTCCAACCATCTGAAATTATACTGAGGAGTTCAATGAATATTTCCTATCACTAATAGGTAATAATATTTTGCACTATTGCACTCTGAAGATATTTTCAGGTCATATCCTAATCTTTTCATGTTTTATATCTATATACCTTTTAGTTACTAAAAATAATCAAAGTGTGTACCTACTTGGCTACTTGAAATTGCAGGGCTCTGGTAGGACTGATAGATGAAGAAATAGACAACAGGTTGAATCTAGCAAACATCAAAGCAGAACCACTTAATCCAGTTGTACACTGAAAAATAAATTAGAATATAAGATGTGTTTTGTTTTACTCAACCTTTGATTTGAATTATTTGAATGTAACTAATATCATCGCTAATATCATAATTATTATTTTGAACTTTTCCACCAATTTACCTATAGAATCTTATGGTGATAGGAGCATTAAATACAAATTTAGTTATATGGGTATATGTACCTACATGGTACCTACCTACCTGTAAAGTTTACTATTTTGGGTCATTATTTTCGGAGTTATTTTCCATCATTGCTAGCATCTGATGGCTTATCAAAATATTCATGGTGATTTTTCTTAAATATTTACCTATGGAGTGTATGGACACCTTGTTACATTACTAATTTCAACTTTTATTTACAATCTTTAATTTTTCTGGGTCAAATTGGGTCCCAGGGCAGATAAGCTGATGGTCTTTGTTCTCGATGGGTAATAAAATTATGCAAATGCAAATAGCGATAGGTAAGTAGGTACGTTGTTTGTATATTGTATAGAATTTTTAACGCTACACAATGTGTAATGTCATATAAAGGTACATATTTCAATAGATATTAGAAAGTAAATCTATTTTTAAATGGTAAATAATAAAGCGCCAGATTTGTTCAGTGTTGTAAATCTGACTTGACCAAGGGAAGACGTTCTGCGCCGGATTTATGCGCAAGGATATAAGATCAAAGTCGCCATATTGGTAACTGTCTAATTCCGAAATTTAAGTAAGTAAATACAAGATTTTCCACGTATCACGACATATAATTCGATATTTTGTGTAATATCTGGATTCTTTAGTGGGTGGCGCGTACGTAGACATATAATAAAGTTATTTCTAGTTATTCTGATTGTCCTGAATCACTTGAAAGAATTTTCAAGTTGTTGCATAAATATCATACAATAGTTAGTACCTATACTTTCATAAAAAATCTGTGCTGAACGGGACTGCTTGTTTCACAACAAGCAATTATTATTTATTTTCCAAAGTAGTTGAGGAACATCTGGAAATATCACTTGAAGAATAGTATATCATAATAATAATTGTAGTTCGTAATAAAAATTGTTACATGGCAAGTAGGTAGTTTGACAGATGTTCCATTTTTTGACATTCTCCAATAAAATAATATTTAAATGTAGTCAAAAACAGTTACGAGATATTCTACGCCCATAATATCAAAAGTTACTATTTCATCAAATATTTCTCAAACACTGATGTGTATGGAGATATGAGGTGTTTCCATATGAAGCAACAAAGGGATTCCAGGAAAATAGATTAAACCACAATTACTCATTCTGATTAGTTGTATTAAGTAGTACAGTGTTCTAATTCTTCTAATCCAGTGTTTTTTCAAATATTTCAAGGCGAAAAGGAGTTTTTACAGTGTTAGTGAACTCAGCTGATTGCAACTATAAGCAAGATGTCTGTTTTAAATCAAAGTGGAGAGGAGCAGGTAGAATGCCCCTTGTGTATGGAGCCTCTGGAAGTTGATGATCTTAATTTTTTCCCCTGTACTTGTGGGTATCAGGTGAGCAATTTTTCTGAATGACCATCCTTAATTTTTAATCCAGATTGTATCTGATCTTATTGAAGCTAAACAGTTTAGCTTCAATAAGATAGTTGAGTTTAGCCTAAACTGAAATTATTTTCCAGTGTTTTTACTTTTTAATAAGGTTGATTTCTTATCCAATCAACTTTGTAATGGATATAAGTTTCCATATGTTCCTTTCAAGTTTTTGGATGAGTACCTCAATGAGCACAAAACCCAGCACAAAACAATGTAACCAATGAAATTATCAATTATTCTAGGTATTTAATTTACTTGTTCCAAGCAGTTATTATAAAATTATAGTATCTTTGTTACATTTTGACTTGCACTAAAGATTTGCATGTAACAGTGTTCACAAAAGCCTATCTATCTATCTATCTATGCTCAAAGTATACTCACTACTACTTATGCAGTTATTTTGGATATATGAGAATATAATAATTACAGAAATAAGTCCTTACACATTTTTTATACTCACTTCTGTTGCCTTTTGCACTTGCAATTTATCAAAAATTAATAGATAGATGGAATTTGAGTATAAAATTCAATATTATTGTTGACAGTTTTTGAGAAAATGAATAAATGGAAGCTGATCAAATTCCCAAGTGACTCATAGTGGCAGGATTAAAATAGGATCACTCTTGTGTTCAAAAAGTTGTCAATCAGCAAGGGGATGTTTAGTTATTTTGACAGAGGAAAAACATATGGAAAAGACCTCCTTAGAGAATTCACTCATGATACTATAATGTGACTTCTTGGATCCTTTCATCCTTTCTTTTTGAAAGGCATCCTATTGCAAATTTGGAAATAAATGTTATCTTTGAAACATTTTGCACAACAGTTTATAATCTTAGCCTATCATTTGGTTTTATACTGATGAACCTGGCTAATCTTGGCTGAAACCTCATTTACATGGAACTGTCAATACTAATCAGATTTAATACCTGCAGATAAATAACATCTTAGTTCTTGACTAGTTTGAGAGTGAAAGTTGAATCAATCATTGTTTTGTTTATTAACAAAAGACAAAAAGGAAAGTATTGTTTTATAAATAAGTTGAAGATAATCTTTCCAGATACTACTCTATCTTGAAATTGTATGAGATACTTTATTATTTTCATATCTGAGGCAAAATCATTCAACTGAATGAGAATTGGATAAAATCAACTTGATCACATAATTTCATGAAATGAAATAAAATTATCAAATGTATATGCAGACTAAATTATTTGGAACCTACTATGAACCTTTACAGACAAACATTGTCAAAACCATTCAAATTTGGTTTTCCAAATTAATAATAATCACCACAACCATACAACTAGACAAGCAGATCATTTTTCTGTTCCTTTATTCTATTTTATAAAATATATTTAATTTATATATTCACCATGTTCCATGCTATAAACTAATGTTTCTTGGGAATAATAAAGTGGTTTGATTGATTGATTGAAAAATTACCCCTTGTATTTGCAGGTATTACTTCTTGTTTATAAAATGTACATCTAATTTATCATGTAATCTGTCAGGTTTATAGATTTATATTTTTGTAACAATGCCTCAACCTGACCATTCCTACACTTTTGTTGTAGAGTCTAAAGGAAAATAAGGATATTTATTTATTTACATATTACTTTTGAAAAGGGGATAAATCACTGCCAATAATAAACAATTAAAGGTTATGGTTCAGGTTAAAGTTTTATATAAAGTGCAAATATATAATATTTCATTGACCTCCATGATTGAGAATTGTATAAAGAAACAACATGGCTCATGCATAGAAAGCAACAAATTTCATTCAAAACTTCAAAACAATGATTATTATAGAGTGTGGATCTCAGGAACACAACTCTAAACCTTAACAGAAATGTATAACTCAATAACTAATAAGAGATCTTTAGTGCTTTACTTGTAGTACATGTCTTTAGAGTGTGACAGTGTCCTACTATGTATAGCATAGGCTTTAATCCTATCTTATACCTTAGGCCACATATTATGATAACAAGACTTATATCTTCCTGCATCATCTGGTTTATATAAAAACGATAAAAATAAGTATCACAGATATTCTGACTGTTTATCATGATACCAAACAAGATAGTTCAAAAGATGAAAAAATACAGTGTGTTCTTCGTCAAGTGTAACCATCCCCCGTATATATATATTTTTTTTCAAAATGTATTTTTCAGAATGACCCATCAGATGGACTATGAATTGATTCTGATTTCATAGCATTTTGTGATCAGAATATACAGTGTGACCCATTTAAGATGGAAGCACCCTTATAAAACTTACATTTTTCAACCGATTGGAATGATTTTTTTTTGTTAGGTAGATATTCAAAAAGTCTATTAGGACACCAAATATCATGAATAAATCTCCATTTCCAGGGCCAACTAATCTGAATATGCCGTTTAATCAACCCACCAATTCATGTTCAGGAATTTTATGAAAATTCTGTATACTCCACTGGATTCAGGATGTCTTGAAATATTACTGATCACAGTTTCATCGAAATCTGTTCAGTAATAAAAATTGATGGGTTGATTAAACGGCATATTTTTCAAATTTCATTCCTTTATTGATTGACGCATTTCAACGTAATTTACATGTTACCCATTTGAAAATGTCACAAATCCAGTGGTGTAGTCAGATTTTTTCTAAAAAAATCGCTAGTAATTTTTTTAGATTTTTGACCTTGAAAAATCAGATTAGTTGGCCCTGGAAATGGAGATTTATTCATGATATTTGGTGTCCTAATAGACTTTTTGAATATCTACCTAACAAAAAAAAAAAATCATTCCAATCGGTTGAAAAATGTAAGTTTTATAAGGGTGCTTCCATCTTAAATGGGTCACACTGTATATCACAAAAATTTCATGGCAACATTTCTAAAACATTGAGTTTTGTTTTGAATGTTGAATAAACCAAGGAATAAACTCATCAAAACAAGGCAATGATATTGGGTTTATGCTATGAAGACATTTTTTCAAACAGAATATGTTACCTATAGCTGTTGGTACCCATATTGATGGTTTTTAAATTATCGTTAATTTTTTTGTTCACTTTAGAAATTTTCCTTAAAAATGATAAGTTCTGTTTCACTAAACTAGATACAGGATAAACTATGTTTTCATAAAAAACTAAATTCCAGTCATTTTTCAAAAATGCAAATTTGTTACCTACTCTCAAATGAAGATAGATATGGATATTCATTTAAATTGACCCTCTTACAATGAATTTTCCAACCATGATATTTTATGAAAATCTGTATGCAGGTAATTGAAACATGAGCAAATAAAGTTACCTTTCAAAATTGAAATGTCACAGTAGTAGGCATCCTGTCGAAGTTTTCATAAATTCCCTCTGAGTCGTTTCTGAAATATGGTACCGTTCCAGAACTTTTTAACGAAAATGCTATGTTGTCATATTTCGAAAATCACGTTGATTACGAATCTCATATTCAGGGACTCAAGTAATTATGAGGCGCTTAATTAATTGCAATAAAAATAAATGGGGTATTCCATTTGAAAAAATGAAGTTACTCCTAATATCTGAAAAACTGTAAACTTGGCAACATTGCCGATGCCACAATTGAATCGGATATATCATCAATAATCACCCTGTAGAAGATTTCGTGAATTTTTCTTGAGCCGTTCTTGAAATATGAGACCGTTCCGATACTTTTGAAAGACACTGTATACCAGGGTACAGAAGATATTTTGCTAAGTTGAGCTGTATTATTCTCTGAGATGCTACATAGTACGAGAACCGATTGCAAAATTACTATGTTCATCTGTTATTTCTGGTGATTTTATAAAAACTTTTAGCATTTAAAATCTAGCATTTCAACATTTGAGACTTAACAGTCTTCAGTGGATTCAGTTATAAAAAAATTAAGATTCTAGGGCGATACATATCTTCTGTCATTACTGACGTCTAGTTTCTGATACAGAAAGCGTATAGAGGCGTAGGGAAAAAAAAATGGAGGGGATAAAGAAGCCTCTACCCCCAAAACGTATCACCCTGTAGATTTTAAAAACCTTTGAAATGCTTAAAAGTATAATATTTTTGAAAAGTATTAACTACGCCAAAGTTTCAAACTTTTTTAATTCAAATTCTGAGCTCTATCACCCATTTCAGTTTGTACCTTGAAACCTGAATCACCCTGTATAATAATGATGTATAATCACTATAATGGTACTAATGAACCTGAGGCTATTTATCAACTTCTGTTGATATAGCAGACAGATTCATCTTGGTTTGGTGCTGCCGATCATATCTCCAATATTTCCTGTGGCTTGCCTTCCGATTTTTTTTTGTTTCCAATAAACTTCAACTTCCTGTGCACCTTGGATCCATCAATACGCACTCTTTATGTATAACCTACAGACGATGCACAAACACTTCTACCGTCTTTGTGTGGCCTTGATCTTGTATTGCAGATTACCTTGTGCGTCTGTGAAATTTTTGTCGAGATTACCGGTTACTTGAAAAATTTTACCTTTTTGATATGACCATGCACTGTTATTGCTATTTTGGTAAAACTGCATTTATCATGCCATGGTTTTTTTTTCGAAATTTTTTTTTTGTTACTTAAGGCTGTATGGCACGTGTTAAATTTGGTGACAAATATGATAACAAAAATATTTTCTATGTGCCATACAGTATAACTATTTATAATATCAAAATATTTAGAACCAGTCCTATATTTTTACAAGAATGTTTGCAAATCTGCGCAAAATCAACACCTTTTTCACTGTATGGCACATCATAACATAACATAACATAACATCATTTTTGTTATGTGTAATACAGCCTTTATTATTTTTATCTGAAGAATGATAATGTGAACGAACCATTATTTATTGATATTTCACTATAAAGTTACAAATGTCACCTTCTTTTCCGCCTGTCTTTTGGATCGCATTTAGAACAATTTGCCCTTCCTTTTTCATTGGAAAAATATGATTTTCTTGTGATTTATCCATATTTAGTGAAAAGAAGTATGAATATCATTTAAAATAATGGCGTGTGTAATGTCATTCCAAAGCAATCTGTTGACATTTGACATCTCGTATTTGGATTGACTATTGATTGAATGGCCGTCATCTGGTATGCTTGTTCACTAAATGTGAAAAACTCACCATAAAAATCATATTTCCAATTTTCTTTATAAAAATGTGTCATTAGAGTACATCATGAGTATATAAAGTGTCCAATGAAAAAAAAAAAAAAGAGGAAGTACCTGTAAATGCCAAACACAAGGGGGGAAAAAGAAGGCGAAATTTCGAACTTTTTCTTGAAATATCTCGATAAATGGTGGTTTGTTCACATTTTCATTATCAAATTCGTGTTTATCAGACAAAAATACGTAAGTACCAAAAAAAATTTCGTAAAAAAACCCATCGCATGATAAATGCAGTTTTAGCCTCGCTTAGATTTTTTTCTCGTTATTGTCAAATATGTTATTCAGTGTGCATTTTTTATTCGATTCGATTTTATGGGAAAAAACCGATTCACCTAAAGATCGAACAGAAGAAGATCGATCTAAAAAATTGATTTTTTCAGACGAAAAGATCGATGTTAGAAATAAATCGATTCAAGATCGCCATCCCTAATCCCTTCTAATATTATAAATGTGAATGTAAGTTTGTCGGCCGGGCTTTTACGCCGAAACTACTCAACCGATTGTCATGAAATTGTGTATACGACATATTCTTAGATGTATTAGAAAGGGAAAGGACATAGGATACTTTTTTCTGCTGCCGTGTGACGTGAAATTTTTTCTCCAAAAGTTATAAAACCGATTTTGTGTAATTTTTGTATTGAAAACTCCATCATTTTGTGTTCATTCAATGTCAGTGTCAATTTTGATTACCGATTTCGTTCAAATTACTTGGAACGTTGCTTAGCAACACACTTTTCCTGCCTAGGCAGAGAAAGTACACTTTTCCTGCCTGTTGAGTGTCAGACAAAAGCCAATTTTTATGCCGCTAGGAGAAATACTGATTTTTTCCAAAAACGACAAAAAATTAAATTTCAATTCCCTATATCTCCGAAACGAAGCAATCCAAGGACTTTCTTCTTGACATTTTCTCAGGAATATGTCATTTAAATCCTTACTTTCACGCTAAAACTACTCAACCGATTATCATTTTGTATATATATTCTTAGATGTATTAGAAAGGACATAGGATAGATACTTTTTATTGGAAAAAAAGAAAAAATAGGACGAGCAATAGTTATTTATTATACAAGGGAAAAAAGTAGTAGATTTTAGCCCCAGGTTGTGTTGTCTCCCGACGCGTAGCGGAGGGAGACAAAAAACCGTGAGCTAAAATCTAATATTTTTCCCGTGTATAATACACTATTTTTTTCTGTGACAGAAGGAAGGACGAATCAATATTGAGAAGATATTACATTATTTCGAAATCTGAAAATTAGCGACGTGAAATTTCAAGTTTTTAACAGAAGGGACACCTGCGTTTTATAGACATCTTTATCATTCTTTTGAAGTAATCAAATATCTGATGTCACTTCTGTCAGTTCAATTTTGTGATTTGATTTTGAAAAATTGCGAATTCAGTAGTTGTTTAGTAATATACGAAACCGCGAAGTCGAATGGAAGATAAAAGGACTTGCAGTTCTTTCTCGGAGACGGTATTATTGACTCATTTTTCGGAACTATAGCACAACAAAAGCCATTAACAGAGTATATATATCTATATGTGATATATATCCGGGAAAGAAGTACTCACTTTTTTCCCACGGGAAAAAAGTAATTTATGAAAAGTGACATTTTATAACCTGCCAACAGAGATGAAATGCCAAACTTTTTTCCCGTCACAGAAAAAAAACATTTATGTTAGCAAACATGATTGTTGGACACAAAATATCCAACAATCAGACATGAAACTCTATCCGTCGGTACCTTAGATATTGATTATTAGAATACTTCTTCTGGAACTGGTCAGTGTCGGATTATTTAGATAATGAAATGAAAATGACAAATATCTAACCAAACATCAGGTGGGCACTAAGAAGGTGCAACATTTATTACTGCATGGGAGATACCCTTCAGATTTTTTGCTATTCAGTGACTTGACCACGAATGACATTATTGACATTGACGTTTTAGTCTTCTGCGCAATCAAAATGCACGATTCAATACTACCTGAATTGGTCCATCTACAGACAGGACGCAACAAATAACATATTTTTGTTGCAGTTCAATACATCCCAACTTTTGTTTTAGTAAATTATTTCAATAAAACATGTTTTCAGTTTTTTATACATTATGCCAAAATTCAGTGTGATTCCAATTATGCAAATTATACTTATCATGGCTATCAAGTGATCTCAATCGATTTCTTGAATTAATCTGAATTAGAATTTTGATTCATATCAGATCTCCATGTTTTTTTGCTTTTGCTCTATTGTTTCGGATGAAAATATGGAAACCGGTTGAGCACAAATTACCATAAATTTGCCTCTGCGGCGCCACTGGAATAATTACGGTGAATCTAGTTACGCCAAAAGATACATAGATTTTCATATTACGAATAAAATCTGCTTCGTTCAACGAAAATCAGCTAATGAATTTCGGAGCTGTGAATGAAATACGATTTTTTCAAACAACTTCAACACATTGTAATGTACGTAATTCATCCAGAAATGCCCTTTGTAGGACTGTAAAGATGTTCTTTCCAAATTATTTTCTCAGTGATACTAAATCTACGACGAATTTATCTTAGTTTATTTCACGTTGTGGGTGTGAGGAATCTGTGGATTCAAAAATAATGAAAACTAAAACATGAAATAAATTATTATACTCTGAATTATGATACTGTGAGGGAAGTTTCATCTACCAATTGAAAAATATTGTTGGAAAAAGCTGTGCAAACATTTAAAAAGTAGTCTATTTGACTGAATGTCAAGTTTGATTAAAATGATTTTTTATGTATATTTGTCTTATTTTTTTATTTTCCTTTATTACCTATTTATTATTTGGAATTTTATTTAATTCTATGGTGTAATTCTGATGAATTGAATAACTACAAACTTTTCTGGCCCTTTTTCCCCCTAGGAGGTTTATACAGGGTGTATCTAAATTACACCGAAAAAATTCAAGGAGTAATTCCTTGTGATATCTAAGGAAATAAAGTTCATATGAACATGTGTCCTAACTTGCTTCGTTTTCTCGAGATACAGGGTATTAATATTTCCATGAAAAATCGTTTTTTTATTCATTACTCAGTTGTCTTTTCATCAATTTCAATAAAACGTTGTTGTTTTGTTAATAGTAATGTGAGGCTTCTTCTGGTGCGATTAGATTAGAATCAGATGATTTGCCCCAAAATGTCACTGCGTTTAAAGAATTTTCCTATCAGAGAGCCCAAAAGAAAAATTCACTAGCTTGTCAGTGACAATTTGTATTGAAAAAATTTTGGAGAAGAGAAAAATAAATATCAAATTTTCACTTATCTTTGGACGTTTCGGGACCGGTTCTGCTCCCGTTTTCAACATGAAAAGAGATTATTTCAATAGCGAAGTCGTATAATGTCTTGAAGCTCTTCAGTTTTCAATGACAATTGGTGACGTTGGCAATCAAATGTGTTACAGGATGTTTTCATTAATTAATCTTGAATTGACCATTTTCATGTTCAAATTTTAGTAGTGAATACCATGTTCTGTCTATATCAACTGAACAAGAAGCAATGCTATTGTCTCCGTTCAGAAGAATGCAAGCAGATTCCTTGATTTTTTCGGTGTTATTTAAATACACCCTGTATAAACCTCTACTTTCTACATCATCTTCATCATTAGCACCATATTTTATTTTTCAGATCTGCCGCTTTTGTTGGCATCGCATTCGAACAGATGAGAATGGACTGTGTCCAGCCTGCCGTAAGGCTTATTCTGAAAACCCTGCTGATTTCATCCCATTATCGCAGGAACAGGTATGAACATTAATAATACGACAGTTCTGTTATCATAATGAATTATTCGCATTCTGAATCAAGGTTTTTGAATAAATTGAACAACTATGGCCGATAACTGTATTATCATAAATTTGAATCATTACTCTATGACTATCTAGCAATTTTTGAATTTGGAAGATTTGCTAGTATAAAGCATATATTCTGTCTAAGTGAAGGATTCCTTGCAACTATTTTCAGCTGATGAAGGTAACTATTTTTATCTACTCACTGCATCGAAAGTAAACGTTTGCTCCCTCATTTAACGGGAGGAAAAAAAATTAACTCCCGTGGGAGGTAAAATAAATTAGCAGCTGGCTTCCTTGGTAGATATATTATACCCAAGTACCTGATCAATGTCTCCATCACTATTATAAACAAATAACAATTTCATTCAATAATAAAAATAATGATGATTTATTTATTTCAGCAATTGCCATGTAAAAAATACAGGGAAATTGTGAAAAACGTCGAAAGGTGAAAATATGCAGGCAATATAACAAATTATAATGATACACATTCTGATCTAAACATATTTACATAAATATACACTTATTTACACATAAATACACATTAATAAGCACATGCATGAAAAGTATGTTGACTTTGAAGATCATAAAGTTCCCTGATTTAAAAATTCTTCTATGGTGTAGCAGTTTTTGAGGAGTAAGTGTTTTTCCAGGCGGTTTTTGAAAATTTCATTTTCATAGCTATTGTTCTGCGAAAAGTATATCACTATATAAATTGAAGTGAAGTGATTTGACAAATAATCTAACCTCTAAAATCGTATCTGACAGTCAGGCGCTACTAGGGAAATTGAAAAGACAAAGATATATGTCTTATTCTTTTATTCACTCAAACCATTGTGATATAAAAAATAGGAAAGAACAGAAGTTCAGCTGTGTCCGACCCTCTTATCTTACTAATACCATCTATACCTTTTCAACTTCAATTTCGGAATCGGTAAGTTATATTTCGGAAAAATTAATCTTGATTTCAGAATTGATTAGTTCGATTTCAGAAATGGTAAACTCAATTTTAGAATCGGTGAGATGATGGTAAGTTGTATTTCAGAATTGGTAGGTTCAATTTCAGAAAATAAATCCATATATTCCTTTGAAATGTTTCCAATTGCATGTGAGATTGAAAAACCATATTTACAATATTCAACTTTTCAAAAACAATTGAATAACATAATTATAATCTCAATTTAATCCACAGATATGTCTTCCATCCGGATCGCAGATAGATAGTGGCATTGCACATGATTATAAGAATGCAAACATATTTGAGGTGTTATCATTCTCATTGACTGATCTGCACAATCTTCAAGACATCGCAGTCTGAATTCTATCTGGTTGAGCAATCTGTTTGGATCCCCAGCTATGACCTTTTGGCAATGCTCTTGCAAAAAGCTCTTCATTTCTGACTTGAAGGCACTCCGTATATGTTCAATCTGGTTCAACATAGGACTGTAAGGTGCCGATCTGCAAAATATAACATTTTGAAATTCTTCCTCCATGCATATCTCTTCTATTCTTGAATGTGTGCAGGTGCATTGTCCAGAACTACCACTATGGTATCTGCAGGATGCTCATTTCAAACGCACGCTCTCAAACACCGTTTCATCCATTGTAAATAATCTTCTCATTTGCAATTAAAAACATTTCAAACAAATATAAGGATTTATTTTCTGAAATTGTACCTACAAATTCTGGAATACAACTTACCATTTCTGAAATTGAATGGACTTTTTCTGAAATTCATCTCACCGATTCTGAAATTAATCAATCAATCAATCAACTTTATTATTCCCAAGAAACAACATTTGTTCATAGCAGGGAACATAGTGAATACATAAATACAGGGTCGCTGATATGTATGGAAACAGGTGAATATCTCGGCAATCTGTTGTTAGATTTTTTTGAATTTATGTACAGTGTGATTTCAAAACGTGGCGGATTTGAAAATGTTATAGCCTCTGTTGCCACTTTTTCAGTTATTCCGGATTTTTAGTAACTTCCTTATTTTGAATGAAACACCCTGTACTTTATTGGATTTCCAGATTCTCCTTGAAGAGCTGATTCCATCGATCTATCACACTTGGGGTCGAGCGGGAATGATTACATAGGTATAGGGTGTTTAAAATCTAGGTTTTTCAACTTCAAGATTTTTTTGTGTAGAAACTATCCATTATCGATCAAAACCGTTTCAATGTTCCTATCTTCACTTTTGATTTACCATCTACTGACTATTTAATTGGAACAGATACAGAGGGTGATCAGAATTCTGAATCTTGAACCACCCTGTATTTGTTTCAATTAAATGTCAGTAGATAGTAAATCAGAAGTAAAGATGGGAACATTGAAGCGATTTTGATCGATAATGAATAGTTTCGACACAAAAAAATACTAAAGTTGAAAAAATCTAGATTTTAAACGCCCTATACCTATGTATTCATTCCTGCTAGACCCCAAGTGTGATAAATCGATGGAATTAGCTCTTCAGGGAGAATATGAAAATCCAATAAATTACAGGGTGTTCTATTCAAAATAAGGAAGTTAATAAAAAATCGGGTATAACTGAAAAAGTGGCAACATTGGCTATAACATTTTCAAATCTACCACGTTTTGAAATCACACAGTACATAAATTCAAAAAAATCCAACAAAAGGTTACCGAGATATTCACCTGTTTCCATACATATCAGCGACCCTGTATATTTGACAAAATAAAATAAAGAAGACAGTAAAATAAGACTCACACTCAAAAAGAATCTTTTTTTTTTTTCAAGTTCAAATGAAAATGATCCTCAATTGACTCAGCTGTTAGGTACACAATTGAAAACTATAGTAGTTGTACAAGAAAACTATAAAAATGAGATAAGATGTCAATATTACAGGAGTAGATGTTTCTTGAATTCTCTTTTAAATTTTTCAATCCTATTAATCAGCTTCAAGTTATTTGGTAGTGAATTGTATTGTATCATTCCATTGTGATAGATGGATTTTTTACCAATATCTGATTTAATTTTCTTGACAGAAAAATGATCTGATTGTCTGGTTGTATGGTTGTGGTGATTACTATTGACTTGGAAAACCAAATTTGAATGCTTTTGACAATGTTTAACTGAATGAATGAACGACATTAATTTGAATTTATATAGTGAATCTATATCTAATAATTCTCTTCTTCTGTAAAGGTTCATAGTAGGTTCCGAATAATTTAGTCTGTATATACATTTGATAATTTTATTTTGAAGAGTTTTGAGAGGCTTTATAATTGATAGTTTACCATTTCTGAAATCGAACTAACCAATTCTGAAATCGAGATTACTTTTTCCGGAATATTTATTTATTTATTTATTTATTTATTTATTGAACAAATAACTTCCAGACAGAATAGGCTCTGGTATAAGGAAGTACATAATTATATACCTATAGGTAAACATAGCATCATTCAAAATATATCAACAACTGTAAATTGGCAAACAAAGAATAATATTTGTAAAAAAAAAAAAAATGGCATGATTAATTTTATCCAGTCCGCTGAGAAATAATCAGTTTTTTTACTTCATTTTTGAATATACCTATATTTCTGCAATTTTTTATATTATCAGGTAGTTTATTGAATTCAGTTAAGGCTGAATGAGTGAATCTTTTTTGTCCGATTAGGGAGCCAGCGGCGTCAAGATGGAACAAGTTATATTGTCTAGTTTCATGATTATGAATTTCAGAATTCCGTATCAAAATAATATTCGACTTCAATTTTTTATTTATGATATTATATGATATTTTGAGAGTTTCAATTCTATATATTTCATCTAAAGAATGCGTATTTGTTATTTCATACAATTGATTGGTTGGTGTATCAAATGGGAGACGATACAATACTTTTAACGATTTTCTATATAATGTTAATATTTTATTGAAATTATTTTTTGAACAAGATCCCCAAACATTTATTAAATAGTTGATACGACTCAGTATATGAGAGTAGAGAATCATGTTTGCAATTTTAATATCAAGTTTGGGACATCTTCTCAATGCACCAATAATTGGAGATATTTTTTTTGTCAGAACATCAATATGTTTGTCCCACTTCAACCTGTCATCAAACCAAATACCAAGATATTTTATCTGGTCAGTTTGTTTCAAGAGTTCATTTTTTATTTTAAGGTTGAGGTGAATTTTTTGTTTATTTTTTTGGTGAAAAATCATATATTCTGTTTTGTTAGTATTTATCGATAAAAGGTTAGATTGAAGTTGAAAAGGTTATAGTATGGTCTAAAAGCGAACTCTCGCGATTTCCGTCGCTTATATTGCGTATACCGAGCGTTTCCTCGCCATCAGGTGGCCAAACTGAAGTCGGAGAAGCGGCAGCGCGACCAGCAGCGCAAAGCGAAGCTGAGCGAGAGCAGGAAGCACTTGGCGAGCGTGCGCGTCGTGCAGCGCAACCTCGTCTTCGTGGTGGGGCTGCCGATGCGATTGGCCGAGCCCGAGGTGCTCAAGAGGCACGAGTACTTCGGCAAGTTCGGCAAGATACACAAGGTGGTGATCAACCAGTCGACGGCGTACGCCGGTACCCAGGGGCCCAGTGCAAGTGAGTGCTTTCTTTTTCTCCTCTGTACAGTATTTTTCAAGCTCCGCTTTTTTGGTACATTGGCAACTCGGCCTGAATAAGAATAAATATACTCCTCTATGCATTCATAAAACATTGATAAGTGTATGCCAAACACGGATGAATGAATGGAATCGTGAATGGTGGGGATAACGTTATATCGTTGTTCAGTCTGTTCAGGGATTCCCAATTCTTAATTCAACAAATAAATAATAATTATTAGGGAGCTTTATTGGATACCCAAAAGGCTACCGACCGAGGTCCTTCAGCCTGTGTTACACAGTGATTATACAGGGTGGGCCACCAGTAACGCCTCGGTCTCTAGAAGGCTAACCACTTATCTTCTTGGAATTCTTCCTCTCTAGGAAGTTGCATGTCAACATAGGCTACCATTTGAAATTATTTCAAAACATACAGGGTGTCCCCAAAAACCGCAAAATACTAAAGTTGAACTTTTTTCAATCGAACACCCTATATATTATTTCATTTTGAGATTCTTCCTGGTGAGCTGATTTCAACGACCCATCATACTTGGGGTCTAGCAGTTATAATTACTGAAATATAGGGTGTGAAAAATCGAGATTTTCCAAGTTCAAGAATTTATTGTGTCTAAACCATTCATAATTGGTCAAAACGGCTCACATGTCCCTATCTCAACTTTTGATCAACTATCTACTGACATTTAATTGAAACAAATACAGGGTGGTGCAGAATTCAGAATCTTGATCACCCGGTATATGTCCCAATTAAATATCAGTAGATAGTTAATCAAAAGTTGAGATAGGGACATGTAAGCCGTTTTGACCAATTATGAATAGTTTCGACAAAAAAATTCTTGAACTTGGAAAATCTCTCAATTTTTCACACCCTATATCTCAGTAATTATAACTGCTAGACCCCAAGTATGATGGGTCGTTGAAATCAGCTCATCAGGGAGAATCTCAAAATGAAATAATATATAGGGTGTTCGATAGAAAAAAGTTTAACTTCAGTGTTTTATGGTTTTTGGGGACACCCTGTATGTTTCGAAATAATTTCAAATGGTAGCCTATGTTGACGTGCAACTTCCTAGAGAGGAAGAATTCCAAGAAGATAAGTGGTTAGCCTTCTAGAGACTGAGGCGTTACTGGTGGCCCACCCTGTACATTGAGTTTAAATTCATCATTATCGTATGTACAAGATATATGGAATTATTAAATTTGTTAGTGTAAAAAAAAAATCTATTGTGAGGCAAGAATTTTGAAGGAATTTCAGTCTTCTGAATTGATTAGGCATTCCAATAGTGTGTTTTCAGGAAACTTCCGTCTTGGGTTCACTGTTGGATCTCTCTGTAAACATTGGAATTGGATAATTTGGAGATTGAATTCGTTTTTGGAAAACTCCAATGTTAGCTTTTTCAGTCTCTTAGAAATTTTTTGCACCCTGGTCAGCCGATATACAGTGTCATTCATAAAGTCGGCATCATATGGGAAAAACTTTTATTAATGACTTATTTTGAAATTCGAGTTGGACGTTCAGTTTTGCTTCAAAAAAGATGAAAAATGGCCTACTCAATCAGGGTCACGTGACTTTCGCTACATGTCAAAAGTGACATTTTTTCAAATTAATCGCTGAAAGTAGGCTTATTTGTTCGAATATCGAGAAAGTTTACTTGGAAAAGTTTTTTCTATTTGAATTTCACATATGTGACTCGGATTTTATCTTTCTATTACATTTTTTAGATTTCGATATTTTTCAAAAATTTTCGAAATTTCTGTAATATTGAAAAAATTGTGAATTCGATAAAACTACTTCATACCAGTAGATTCATCATGCTACTAACTTTCAATTACTAATTAACACTAATTATCGACAAAAATATGATTTTCTTCAGAAAATGATAATCTCCGCTTCAAAATTCTGTTATGTTTGATGCAAACATAACATCAAAATTCTGTTATGTTGAAACAAGCATTCAGAAACGAAATTCTTCAAATTTATTTTTTCAGTACTGGAAAGATCCGTTTAAATGAATATCGTTTCTGAATGCTAGACGATATATCAACTTTGCATCAAACATAACATACAAACATAATTTGGAAGCAGGTATTATCATTTTCTGAAGAAAATCATATTTCTGTCCATAATCAGTGATAATAAGTAATTGAAAGTAAGTGGCATGAAAAAGCTACTGGTATGAAGTAGTTTCGTGGACTTAACAATTCTTCAAATATTACAGAAATTTCGAAAAATTAAAAAAAAAATCAAAATCTAAAAGTTGCAATAGAAAGATCAAATTCGAGAAGCATGTGTAAAATTGAGATTGAAACAACTTTTTCAAGTAAACTTTTTCGATATTCGAACAAATAAGCCTACTTTCAGCGATTAATTTGAAAAAATGTCACTTTTGACATGTAGCGAAAGTCACTTGACCCCGATTGAGTAGGCCATTTTTCATCTTTTTTGACGCAAAACTTAACGTCCAACTCGAATTCCAAAATAAGTCAATAATAAAAGTTTTTCCCATATGATGCCGACTTTATGAATGACACTGTAGAAGTTCGTTTGATGGATGGTGAAGGGGATTTTGAGGTTGCCGTATTTTGGTAATGGCTCTCAGGCTAGCTCTTTCTGCTACTTCCAAATTGTTTCAGTTCCAGTTTTTAATTTAATAAATAAAATTATTAAAATGTCATAGGTGGAAAATGAATCTCTTCAAGAGCGAATAACACAAAAACCGTTGACAGTTTGATAAAGAGTACATTTTTCATGTAAAATAGAACGAGCTTTTAGATTTTCCACTTATTTTGATCATCAATGAATTGACATAGAATATATGAAGTAAATTATCGAAGTAACAGAGTGCCACTAGCGCCCTCTATGAGCAATCACAAAATAAGTTGCAAATTCATATTCCTCATGTCAGAAAACCTCGAAATTTAAGATTTCATGTTCATGCTGTCAAAACTAACAAAGTTATTGTGAAATTTTGAAATAAAATCTCCCCCTAGAATACCCTGTATCTCCTAAACCAGCAACATTCTCATCAGGCATATTAGGCTTAATCTCATTATTTTTGTGTTTACTATCTGTAGTTCAGAGATTTCCCACTCTTAATGAATCACCCTGTATAATCGGTATACATACATGTCGGACTGAATAACAATAGACACCGCGATTCATTCATGCCAAACCCTGATAAATGAATAGAATCGCGAATGGTGTGGATATCTCTGTCGAGTCTGTTCTAACTGCTTAGTTCATTTAGGGTTTCTAAGCAGTCCCAGATTACTTTTGAATTAACTTGCATTAGAGTCCAGTGTAAATGAGTATTTTTTTTTTTCGAGAATGAGATCACTTTCAAGCTTTGTTTTTGGTACATGTTGGAAATATAATCGGTATGCATGTCGGACTGTATAACAATTGATAGACAGCAAGGTTCCTTCATAATTCGAAAAAGTATATTCCAACAATCATAAATGCCTAACACGGATTAGATTAGTTTTGAATTACCTCGCATTGGGGCCCAGTGCGTGAGTGAGTACTTTTTTCGTTTTTATAAAAGTTACTTGAATTTTCAACAGAATGATCTTTCAGGTGCCTATGTAACTTACATGAAGAGTGATGATGCTTTAAGGGCCATACAAAGTGTCAATAATATAACCATAGATGGTAGATTGATCAAATCGAGTTTAGGCACGACGAAATATTGCTCTCATTTTATGAAGAATCAAACTTGTCCCAAGCCAGACTGCATGTATCTACATGATTTTGGTGAGTATTATCCCTAACATTCCTACACATCTCTTATATATGATCCTTCAGTATTTACACCAACAAGATTCACCTCCATGTAAAATTTTGATGCCAAATTTGGTCTTAGTTCTTGGCTGGTTCGTAGGCGGCGCTTGCAAAACTTCTATTCTGACGGCTTTCAAATGAAAATATTTCAATCCGGCTATGATGCGACATTTTTTTTGCGTAAAAACTTGGAATATATTCTGCACTTGCAGACCTCGCAAACGTTGTTTTGCTATATACATTATGTCTATAGTATATGTTTCCAGTTGAATATTCATCAAGACACCATTATTATTTTATTTTCTAGTTTCTCTAGTTTTTCAAACTACCATTTATTTCAAACTCGTCCGCAATATTGGATCTACCATCTTGAGTTCCCTAATTTTGGCGAAGGAATCATAATTTTCGATCCCGAAAACGCCCACTTACAAATTTTGAAATCGGTATATAATTTCAAAATTCGTCCGGTATATTGATTCCACCGCCTTGAAAATCCAAATCCCGCCCTTTCCAAATTTTGACCAAAGAATCATAATCTCCGACCCCGAAAACACCCAGATAACAATTTTGAAGAGAGTGGGATCATAATCACAATACTCGTCCGCCATATTGGGTCCGCCATCTTGGGTCCGCCATCTTGAATTTCCTAATTTTGACGTAAGAATCATAATACCCTAAGTATCAATTTTGAAAAGAATTGGATTATAATTACCAAACTCGTCCGATATATTAGATCCGCTATCTTGAATTTCCTAATGGTACCGGGATAAAAAGTATTCTATAACCTTCTCCAAATCGATTCATTGGTTTCGGAGCCTATTCAATACATACAAACAAACAATCAAATCTTTCCTTTTTATAATATTAGTATAGATTACAGATTTCTACCCTTCGCTGCACAACAAAAAGTAGTTCACCTCATTGCTAGATACCGCCACCTGCTGAATAGAATTTGTGGCATCGTTGGTTCATCTTGTTAGTGTAAATAATCAAAGATATGATGTAAAATGATCATATGACGTGATGGGAAACGTTGAATCCAAGCCAAATCGCATATTCTTGTCACGGCCTTGCATCTTAATAGTTCCCTAATTCGTTACAAGGAGATCCGGAGGCCAGCTTCACCAAGGAGCAGATGCACGCCTGCAAACACCAGGAATACGAGAAGAAGCTCCACGAGAATCTCGTCCACAAAATGGCCAACAACAATAACACCAATAATTGCAATCATCACTCGTTGGAAAACAACAAGCAAAGGTAAAGATACCTAAATGTTTTGTTTATAATAAAAGTGGACTGTATTTTGGAAATTGTCATCAGAATAATTCGTCAAATCACAGAGCGTTCTAACATGGCCATTTACCCATGATGTCTTCTTCACCACGCCGAATAGTCGATATCTTGGAGACGGTACCGTCGTAGACCTCCTCAGGGGTTGGAAAACCACTGGAGTTCGTTCATAGAGGGATTAAATTTCAGAACACATGCACTGATTACACAATATTGCGATTTTTATAATTTTGAGGATGCCGGCGATAAACTGACCTAGTTCAGGCCCCATTAGTTTTGCGAGAGAGGGATAGATTATTCTCACGTACGTCATTAATGGCTTATTGAAAGACACTCTGAAAAACGCGCGTACATTAAGTTCAATATAATAAGTAGATATACCTTCAAACCATTGAATATTGATCAACAAAAGAAATGAAATATAATGAAATGACTGAACACTAAACCATCAATCATTCCCCTGAATACCCACAATCCATAGAGGGTTTTCATAAAAATACTACTACAAAGAAAAACAGAAAAACACTATGTCTTCGAGTTTATCCATTTAACTGACTTTGTAATTGCAATAATAACCAAGTTAGCTATATAGCCGATTTAAGTTTGAAAACCCTGTATTTATCTGAAATATCAAGTACTGTTATTTAGATTATTCTCGGTACGTTGCTATAGGTCGCAAGCACGATGACCGACCATGGAGGTAAAATATTGGAACACAACCTCACTTTTATGTAAACAATTGAAACACAACCTCACTTTTTTTATATGTTTACAGAGGAATCAAAGGATTGAAATAGTTGTTCACAATATTTTGGCATACGAATCGTGTTTCTCTTGCTATTCTTTAATTCAAGCATGCCTTCTCATTGTGCTGTTGTACAGTGCACAAAAAATGCAACGAGAGACGAAGGAATGTGATTTTTCAGGTAAATAGTAATCTCACATAGTTTTCATCATGAAATTTCGTCATTTCTTATTAAAATTCCTTCTGCCACTTCTGCAATAGAAGCTAATACTGCTAAAAGATTGAAAATGTCTACAACACATACGATCATATTTCGTCAGCATGTCAGACCAGTCCTCCCGTTTGATTGCATGAATCCAATCTTCTTGCATTATTTTAGAAATTTCACCAGTATTATTATTAGCTTCTATTGCAGAAGGAATTCCGATGAGAAATCAGAGAAATCACCAAATTTCAAAAATGAAAACTATATGTGAGTGACTATAGTGGGTACTTACTTTTAAATCATTATGTACTAACCGGATTCCTTCGTCTTCCGCTGCAGTTTTTGTGCATTGGACAACAGCACAATGTGATGGGCATGTGCGAATTATTGAATAGCCGAAAAATACGATTCTTATGCCAAAATAATTGTGAAAAACTATATCAATCACTTGTAAACACACAACAAAAGTGAGGTTGTGTTTCAATGTTTCACCTCCAGGGTCGGTCATCTGACAGTTCTTGCACGCAACCCATTAGATTATACTGAATAGTACAAATTGTTAACAGGTTGACTGCCAGTATTCTGTCTCATCGGACGGCCTCACCATTAGTATAATAAAATGGTAGCAGGAGAACATGCCGCAAGGGTCAGTTTTGGGGTCAATTTCTTTTTCAATTTACATTAACGCTATATCTACTTTAAAATTGAAAGGAAAACTAAAATTATTTGCTGATGATACAACAATAATCTATACTTCAAATGATTTTAACGATATCAATAATGATATTAAAAATGATTTGAAACAAATTTCATCTTGGCTAACGACCAATAAGTTGACTCTCAATTATAGTAAATCTACGTATATGTACATCTCAAGAAGAACAACGGATATATTGGAAAATACCCCAATATGTTTCAATAATAAATCCCACCCGATTGCTACCCCGGCAATACAGATTATTATTATTATTGTATGACCAGCGTGCCCATACCGACTGGAGGCGGCGGCAGCTCCAAGTCCTCGTCGAAAGAGAGCATCGCCTCGCTGTCGAGCAGCGTGGGCAGCAGCACCAGCACCGCCTCCAACGGCAGCAATGGCGGCAATTGCAACGGGGGCGGTGGCACCAACAAGGAGAACTGGCCGCACCTGAACACCAACGAGAAGGAGAAGAAGGAGAAGGGCAAGAAGGGCAAGACGAAGGGCGGGGACGGGGGTAGCAGGAAGGATAGACGAGAGGGGGGGCATCACGGGAAGAGCGAGAAGAGTAGTTATAAAGCGGAAGGTAAGTGGACATTTTTTTTTGTTTATATATTATTTGTATGGAATGTATCAATGAAGAAGAGAATGTAATGCAATAACTGAAATGAATAAATAAATAAAATGTCTTGTTTCCAGCGAGAGAAGAAAAGCCCACCTCGCCCTCGACCCTCCCACAGACGCCTCGGTCGACCCCGCCCCCCGCCTCCCACCCCTCGGACACTCCCACCAATCAGCCCCTCCTGCGCCCGCCCAAAACCACGCCTACCCTGCTGCGTCCGCCCCAAACCACGCCTCCCGCGATAGCGCGACCGACCCACGACGACAACACCAGCTTCTTCTCGTCGTCGACCAACGGCTTCCAGAAGGTGGCGCCAGTGGGCGGGGCCAGAAGGGAGGAGCATGCGGAGGAGGCGGAGCCCGAAGGCCCCGCCCTGTTGACCGATAACTTTCCGGATATCAGCTCGACGGAGGATTGGGCGGCGGCGTTCGGGTTCCCTAGGCATTCGGACAGTTCGGGCGGCAATATGAGTAAGTCATTACTTACACGTTTGTATGTACAGGGTGATCAGTTAAGGGTAGCGAGCGGCGAGCGGAAAAAAAATCATGATATAGGTCGCCAAGAGAAATTGCTGGAAATTATTTTCGAGTTTGTCAAACGTTCTCTTGAGAGCGTAACAACCAACATCGGGATTTTTATAGAATTTGGGGACTTCAAGGAGGAGCAAAAAAATTCCGGAAGTTCGTTCTATTCTATGGTCGAAAATGTTTGGTGTGGAATTTTCGGAGGTATCCCATGAACTCCTAAAACTGGTTCATTCTGTACATTCATTACTAACTTGATTTGATGGTATGGAAAATATTTTATTTCTTATGATTGGCAATGGCACACTTTGTTCCAAGTTGGGGTTGGCAACTTGGAGTGAAGTCCCCCATTTTATTTCTTGCATGTCTACGAGATGCTGTTATTTCATTTTCAGTGGTCAACAAAGAAGAAAAAATTAATATGGATTTAATAGCTAATGGATTCGGACAGTTAGGGCACGATGGATTTAGCAAAGGTAATTGATAATATCATTATCATTGGCAATGAAATATATTAAATACATTGGTTGTTCTCATCTAAAAAATGTTTATTCATCATTGCCTATGTCACTATCATTACAACAGAGATTTCTCTCAATACTTAGACATTCTTTTTTTTCAGGACTCAAACAAGAGGATAAAATGAATTTGGACTCTTTAAGTAATGGCTTCGGACAGTTAGGACAAAATAGATTCAGCAAAGGTAATTATCCCAAAAAAATTTATCCATCATGTACATTTGTTGTGTAGGTTTTCTTAATTTCCTTTTTATCCAATCAAATTCAAAACAGGTATTAGTAAATGCCGAGTAACTGCTGAGTAATATAAATATATCTATGATTGCTGCATAATTTTTCCCTTACGACGTGAAACTTGAAGCAGCTTCACCATTCCTATAACGTACTTTATGAAAAGCCACATTCACACAGAGTTAAAATACCGAACTTATTTTTGATAATTCATCTCAAAAGTCCACCCTGTAGCCTTATCGACACCCGACTGCGCAGAATTAGGTGCGCATCAAATTAAATTCGAAACAAGTCTGGGATAGTTTTGAAACCAGATGAACGAAAACGGTGTTTTCCTGTTTTTTCATCTTCTTTCACGAAAATATTCTGTTTCTTGACTCACGTGAATCGAGGGCATATTTAGGTTAGGATTATGTTGATGTTGTAATGAAATAATCCAAAAATTCAAGACCTGAACATAAAGCTTCCCCTTTAAAATATTCATACACCAAAAATTATCCCTGAATTCTCAATCTGAGTACAGATTCATTCAGAATCACCATTTTCCAGTTTGGTTTTGAAGATTTCTAGCAGATAACATGTTCAAAAACGTTTGTCATCATCTGAACTTGAAGATAGGATGATGAGTTCATCCCCATTGTTCATAATCTTGATTGATTTTTTTCAATAATGGGGAAGTTTCCTCTATTGAGGTTCTTATCTCACTGTGAAGTTTGTGAAAAATTAATATAGACGTATTTTTTCGTAAGATATCAAAATTCACTTCAGAAAAAAATAAATAAAAGAGGAACTTGGCTCCTCCACCATTCCTATGACATACTTTCTGAAAATCCACATTCACACAGTTAAAATACGATTCCCTGTGCCAGTACGACGTTGCCGACATTATCAATATGTCTAGATTTCAGGAAATTGTTCTTTGAATGCATAATAACTATTTCATAACAGCAATGGGATTATAATAGGTTTTTCAATCCTAATTTGTCAAGTATTATGAATAATTCCCATAAATATCTCATTGCCTGAATGAAGTTGATTACTAAAATAAAGATAAATTATGGTATTTCGCGATAGTATCTATGATTTTTCATATTCATAACTTGTCAGTCATTTTTCTGCTAATGAATTCGTTCCTTAATAAAACGGATTTATTCTCTAAGAAAGTTGCAGATTACATCTTGCAACAGCGCCTAATACTTCGAATCCATCCACACCACTCAAAATACTGACAGGCACAACAAGAGGAACTAGCCATGGGTGTCGACTTTATTTTGTTCTGACCGATGACAGTAAATTAGGAAGGATAGTATCATTGAATGTAGCCGATAGTGATTCATTGATTCGATGATATTTTCGAGTAGGATCGAGCTCTATTCGAGATATTTCAATACATAAATAACAAAACCATAACCTGTCAGAATGAAGCCAACTAACCTCTACATTCCTGCTCCGAGTGCATTTGTGGTTATGTATGTTTTTGTTTACCAGTTTTACTTCTTTTATTTTTACCATTCGTTTTTCATTCGTTAGTTATTCGCTAGCTATATATACTTCACCATCAGCTATCTTCAGACTAGAGTCAGAATTAACGACACAGTTTGTCGCCCCGAAAATTAGAAATTGCTTTAATTTGAAGATAAAAACGACTTTATCGGTCGCCATTCTGTACATCGTGGACATTAAGCTGGAGAGTTCCGAACTTATTTTATGAAAATTCATCTGAAGGAAACTTCCCCATTCCATTCTTCATCTTGTTCAAAAGTGTATATCTCAACATAAGAACTTTTAGAGGTTAAAACCTCTTGCCAGTATGCATGCGCATCCAAATTTATTCACGACAGTGATGGACAGTTCTTGCCCAGAGGCTCGTATAACACGTGATCTGTCAGTCCTGAGAAAACGCGAACACTTCTTTGGCTATATTCCGAATTCAACTGGTCAGTACTGTCAGTTGAGCCACTGACTCTGCTGAAAATTTGTGTTCCGAAATATAAAATCAAGAATTCACTACTGTAATTCGGGACACGTTTTCATGGTTTTTTTCTCGTTTATCTGAACTAGATGTTTAGCCTCCTACTTGTTATAAATTTTGGAAATTCAATATTTAACATGGAAGATAAATCGATTCTTGTATCCTCTATAGCTTCTACGATTGTTGACGTTGGCGATTCAAGCTCGAGTGATGAAGAATACTTGGATATTTTGTTGTCATCAATTTTTCATGATGCACCAGATTGAGAATTGAGATTCATGAAAATCGCAATATGCCTTAATAATGATGAATTTTAGGAGACATTCCAGGTTTATTTAGTTTATTTAGCCAATGCTGCTCCTTTCCTTACCTGCTCTACTACTTCATACTCCAGGTATTTTCTGATATTGAGAATGATTTCATTAACAACGGAAATGAATGTTACATTCCTTCCCCCTCTAAAATATGACAGTTCACTGAAGCCACACTACCTTTTGATACTCAGCAATTCCACACACGCTGACAAGCATCTGTCACTTCCAGTGAATTTTTTTATTTCGGAATGGATAATCAGCAGATTCAGTACTGTCAGTTGAATTCGGAATATAGCCTTTGTCACTGCGCATGCTTCTGATGGTTTCCGGACTGTCGATTTTGTGAACGAGAACAAACCTTTTGTGAACGCGAACAAACCTCCTGAAACGCGCCTCGTTCCAGTCGAACCGTTCAACAACGGCTTCTACGAGATGTCGTCCAAAATGCAAGACAACATCATCGATCTGCTGTCGACCGCCACCCCGAACGGCTTCAAACCACCCCCTGTCACCCCTTCGCAAGTCGCCACCACCACCTCCAACGGTCTCAACGGCTTGGACCAGAACATGTCGAAGTTTTTCATGGACTTTCACAAGAACAAGGAGCAGCAGCAGCAACAGCAGGTTGGTCTACTATGTAATGCGATTACATTTTTTATATTTGATGCCACAAGTGATACTATTTTGCCGGAAATATTCAGCGATTGTTATGACAGCTTGTTGCCTTATAATTTTGCGAATGACATTGTTTATCAAAACTTTTTTGGAACAATGTCATGAGCGAAATTGAAGCAGCAAGTTGGAGTATGTCAATCGACGGATATTTGCAGGCAGGGTTGTTTTGTTTTAAACATTTTGTTGTAATCAACTGTTTTAAACATGTTTTAAACATGTGCTCAAGTTTTAAACAGTTTTTTTTCAAAACAGTTTAAAACACTTATATTAAACAAGCGTTTTTTTTTCATTTCCTTTATTATTATAATGAATGAAAATAGGAAAAATTCTGATACATTATACAAACTTTTTAACATACATACATACGTACATAGTACATAATACATATTAATTATCTATTCATTAATAATAGGACAACAGGCACAACATCACTGTCATTTATACATAAAGTACCATCAGTAACAGAGATTGTTGATGCTGAGGCTGACATAGACCTTGAAAAAAAAAAGATTCATTCAGTTACGATGATGCAAAATTATCGAATCGGTTCAACCGTTCAAACTAACCTAAACTTGACAGTAAAAAATAACACCGTAATACCAAAAAATTAAAAAATAAAATTTGAATTTGCCTGTATTATTATCTGGGTAAGCATCCCTTGAATATTTTTGGATTTTGGATATCTCAGCTAGCGTTAAATCCTCATCTGAATTCCTCTTTCACATGAACATTGAATCATGAGAAAATATGCATTTTCAACAAAGTTATTGAATAATTTGCCCCCCCGCCGATGTGTAAATACACGGACTGTGCTCTCCGGCATACAACAGAAGCTCATTATTCGAGGTGCGCTTCGTGCCGTTTTTCTCGAAACCGGGCATATTTTCGAGAAAAATGATAAGGACCATTTTTGTAGAAAATTAACTGAACTTCAATTTTTATCTGAACCGAAAATCTCTAACTGCCATATTTTAGGAGATATTGGCTGAAAACCTATCTTTCTGGTCTTTTGGGGCCATTTTCTCCGCCATCGCACGCGTTTTCCAGTCAAACTTTGTCTCAAGTTCAATGAGGTACCAAAAGCTACTTCCAACCGGAAGATGAAAATAGTGCGTAATTAATGTTAACTTTTTCCCTTTATTTATTGGACTAAAAATGAACAAACTATTAACTATCTCGGACAGGAAGGAAATCTTACAGTCAACTCCACCTGTAAGACTGTAAGATTTCCTTCCTGCCCTATTATCTTCACTCCACTGCAAGATGGATCGACTCAGATGGTCATCAACTATCTATTTATCTATCTATCTGCAGCAACATCAGCAACAGATTCCTTCTCAGCAACAAAAGTTCGGGCATGCGTACTATCCTAATGTGCAGAGTGACGTGGAGAGGATGAAGGTGTTGCAGCAGCGGCAGCTCGAAGCTCGACTGATGAATATCGCCAGCTTCAAGCAAAGTGAGTTTACAGGATGTAACATAAGTATGTTGAAATATAAAATTCTAGCTTCTACCCGCGGCTTCGCTGTCTTTCAAGCCCTTGAATAAACATCATTATCATACATTCCAATAGAATTGGATCAATGGGATTCAGTATTCAAAAATTACTACCAAAACTAAGCTCTAAAACTTTCAAGTCTATATGAGCTCTATTTTTATCAACAATGTTGACTGCTTCATTTTTGAAATTGAATATCTGTAGATGTAGATTTACTTTTATTATATCCAAAAATAAATATTTTTCTAATTCTGTCTAATAATTTAACACTTTTCAAAACTGACGGAAGTTTTGAAACGTCTTACTTTGGGCAAACAGTTGCGTAAAGAAAAATATTACATAACTCGTGACTAAATGTTAATTTCAACACCAGTTAGGAAGTAAAAATATGGATGGATCAAGAGATTAGTGCATTTTGTGCTGCTTCCATAATATCACTTTGGAAACCTAAACTTGAATCAACCATTTTCCATGAATGAAATTATCAAAGGAGTCTATTTCGTGGATTTCATGGCTGACGTTTGACCATCTCATTGTTTGACGGGTTAAGTCAACTTGCCTGCTAAATTTTTTAAATCAGAACTCATGTAGAACTTCATCAAAATTAGAAAAAATATTGTACGTAAGGCAATGCATTTGAATCAATGTTTTTACAGTAATTTGAACAAATGAAGGACTAAACATTCCGAAAAGTGTACTTAAAATAATCACTTTTTAAAATACTTCAATTGTCTCAGACTCGAGTTTACACCTTGATTTTTTTTTAAGTGTCAGGCATCTGAGCTGTAACTGTGCCATTTTTAAGCCAATTTCAGATAATCACAAATTAAGTAGTTCCAAAACACTACAAACTGGTTTAGATATATTTTTTACTGCATATTTAAAAAAAAATCGTTTCCATACAATTTTGATGAAAATTGTGTTACTTATGCATGGTTTGAATATAGCATATATATTATTTTCAGATTATCAAAATAGTACTAGTAACCCTTATCAAAACGGAATGAACCAACAGTTATACGTGAACGGGGAAAATAATGGATTTGGCAATTTTCACAATCAGTTATATGGAAGTTCAAATGTTAAACAAAACACAGAAGACGATTTAGGTTTTGATCCTTTCCAAGAAACACAGAAAGCCTTTGCGGAATTAATGGCCAATGAACAGAGTCACAAAACACATACTACAGGTGAGTGAAAAAACAGCTCGTCATGTTTCCTCTTCATACATATATTGTATTTATTGAACCACATCAAAATATACTTGCTGCCTAAATATTTCTCTCTTCATCCTTCAATAACATGAAAATAACAATAAATGTTCACTATGTGATACACCAAAAAAACATTGAGATCATTTCGAAAAGAAGGAGGTACAGGAATGTTTTCACCAAGAATAAAATTCAACATTGTATATTAGGTGTAGTGGCTAGGTATAGTATCAATATGGCTGCCACGCCAGGATCCTGTTATAAATTTCATCAAGAATTACTAGATCAATCCTATTTCTCGCCTTATAGTTGTGAATATTTTCATGTGTTTCAATGAATTTTTTTTTGCATCATAATATGTAATAACACAAGTGTTACTATTTTGCCGGAAATATTCGGCGATTGTTACGACATCTTGTTGCCTAATAATTTCGCCGAATGACATTGTTCATCAAAACTTTCGAGCCGTAGGCGAGAAATTTTAGAACAATGTCATGAGCGAAGACAAGCGAGAACAAGTTGGAGCGACTCGTGAGAGTTGCGCACACTGCATCCATCATTATGGCTTCCAACCTAATTGACGTCCAAAATTTTATCGCTGAAAAAACGAGTAAGGTTGGTCACGTGTGTCATGTGTGGGTCAATTCGGCTTATGTATTGGTAGAGCAAGTCCGATTAATGTTTTTGTGATTGTGACTTGTGAGATTGAAACGCTAAAAGAGCACAATACCTGGTATCACTTCGAGTGAGACATCCAGGATGCTCGAAAAACAAAACCTTCATTATTTACGCCGGTACCCAGGCCGGATGAGGACGGATTCTCCGTAATAAGGGCTCTGGCTGTATGTCGTAAGACAACAGGCTATATATTCAGAGAGAGAGGGAGAGAGTAAGTCCGATAAAATTTAGTCAGCAGAAAAATATTGCTGTAATACAAAAGAAACCCGGAAAATGACCGATTCTGATTGATTCTAGAGACCAAGAGTGGAATAATCAAATGTTATTATGCTTTGTAATATAGAAATATTTGCAGGAAAATGAAATCATTTTAAGTTCAGTGAAAGTTTGTTTTCAGTCATGTGTCAATAGTCGGACAGCCTTTCTTTGTAAAGAGAAGATTCTAGTCAAGAATATTGTGAATAGGTTGCGTGCACGATGACCGTCCCTGGAGGTAAAATATTGAAACACAACCTCACTTTTCTGTGAAACATCGAAACACAACCTCACTTGTTTTATTTGTTTACAGAGGAATCAACGGATTGAAATAGTTTTTTCACAATATTCTGGCATACTAATCGTGTTTTTTGCGCTATTCATTAATTCAAGCATACCTTCTCATTGTGCTGTTGTACAATGCACAAAAAATCCAGCGAGAGGCGAAGGAATATGATTTTTCTGGTAAATAGTAATCTCACATAGCTTTCTTATTGTCATTTCTTATTAAAATTCCTTCTGCCACTTCTGCAATAGAAGCTAAATACTGCTAATAGATTGAAAATGTCTACAACACACACGATCATATTTCGTCAGCATGTCAGATAATTCCTCCAGTTTGATTTCATGAATCCAATCTTACATTATTTCAGAAAGGATACCGCACACTTTAATAGGGAAAGTGGCCCCCTGTCGAATTGGCTGAATTTTTGATATGTTATAGTCCAGGCCATTCCAAACAAAAAGTTCAATGGGCACAACTCTTTCTATAGGCTAGTTTTGGCACTAGAGGCACTTGAAAACTTTCATTTGTTCTTCATTGTTCTACAACACGGAACGGTAATCTGGGTAATAATCACTATTCTGCATAATCAAGATCAAAACAGTCATTAATATGAGATACTATTGGAAGTATTGTTCATTGCAAGGATCAATTATACAGTGTGTTCTATATATTATATCTATTAATACTTCAAATTAATGATGGAACTCATGGAAAATATAACAAAGTGGTATATCATTTTGATAGGGTTTTGACGAATGAGTATTAATATGATTAGTATATTGATGCTCAAGGAGTATCGCGAAAAAATTCCTCCTAAGTCAACCTAGCCTCTAGTCGCACATTCAGTATAAATGTAATATGGAGAAAATAATGGGCTATAACTCAATTATATGTTACATTTAATACGTACTCATTCAACCTGGTATCGTCGACCCTATACAGGGTGTTTCATAATTGAATGCTGATCCTAAAGGGCGATAATCCTTGGGTGATTTTAAGAAAAATTCTTCATGTGAACATATGTCCGTAACAGCTTCGTTTCTGAGATACAGGATGTTGAAATTTAACAAAAAAATCAGTTATTCCCCAATATCTCTGAAACCGCTCTGGCTTTTTTCTTCATTACAAATACTTAAAAATAGTTACCATAAAATTATAAAAATATTGCTTAGATCTTTTGGTTACCACAATTGTGAAATTATGACTAAGAGTAAAAATCGAATAGGGACAAGCAAATGAATGCATTTTATTTTCTAACTCAAAAACCGTTCGCCGGAAGAAAAAAAGACAAGATACCATTTTTATGAGAAGATAGAGGATGATTACAAAAATAATATTTATTTGGGAAAAAGACAGTGGCGTATCATTATTTTGATGAAAAATATGACAGGGTATGTTAACAGGGACGCCACTGATGGAAATTAAGAAATCCTTCATAATGGAAAAAATGTATTTCTATTCATACTTGGCATGTACCAAACTTGAAGAGAAAAGCCAGAGCGGTTTCAGAGATATTGGGGAATAACTGATTTTTTTGTTAAATTTCAACATCCTGTATCTCAGAAACGAAGCTGTTACGGACCTATGTTCACATGAAGAATTTTTCTTAAAAGCATCCAAGGATTATCGCCCTTTAGGATCAGCATTCAATTATGAAACACCCTGTATAATAGAAAACCCTTGACTGAACCCTAATTATTCATCTAATAACTCACAGGGTGTTCCATCTGAGAATATATCAATAGTAGGTACGGAATTTTTCGAATGTTAGAACTTTCGCTTTCTTTTACGATGAACACTCCTTATATTTTTTGAGTATGTGATGTAGAATACGATGTAGGATAGGATTCATAAACATTTTCTCATTGTAGATCCCTAAGACGATTTGTAACCATTTTCGAATTATTGAACTTTGGAAGTTGTAAGTAGGTAGAACACACTGTATAATTGACCAAATATAACAACACCGAAGAAAAATACATCCGATAGCATCCGATATTGATGACTGTTTAGATCTTGATGATGCAGAATAGTGATTATTACCCAAAATACCGTTCCGTGTTGTATAACAATGAAGAACAAATGAAAGTTTTCAAGTGCCTCTAGCGCCAAAACTAGCCTATAGAAAAAGTTGTGCCCATTGAACTTTTTGTTTGGAATGACTTGGACTATAACATTTCAAAAATTCAGCCAATTCGACAGGGGGCCACTTTCCCTATTAAAGTGTGCGGTATCCTTTCACGAGTATTTCTATTAGCTTCTATTGCAGAAGGAGAAATCAGAGAAATTACGAAATTTCAAAAATGAAAACTATATGTGAGTGACTATAGTAGGTACTTACTTTTAAATCATAATGTACCAACCGGATTCCTTCGTCTCCTGCTGCATTTTTTGTGCATTTTACAACAGCACAATATGATGGCATGCGCAAATTAATGAATAGCCGAAAGACACGATTCGTATGCCAAAATAATCGTGAAAAACAATTTCAATCACTTGTGAACAAATGAGTAAATTGAGGTTCTGTTTCAATGTCTCACCTCCAGGACCGGTCATCTGACAGTTCTTGCACGCAACCCATAGTGTGATATGGACCCTAACCTCGCTTTTCATTAGTCTAGATGCCAGGCAAGTTTTCACTAGCGATTTCGTTATTGATGATGAACAGTGAAAGTATTTAGTTTCCCTATCGGCTGTCATTGAACAGTCTAAAATGAAATCAAAAGTTGATGTTACTGACTATCATTGGTTTATACAGAGTGATTGAAACGGTTCATTGGACGTTTCTGGCGAACCAGCCAGTGAATCGTTTTGAAAGTTTTTTGTTTTTTATATATCGAGGTTGAGGTCCATTTTTTCCCATTTCCAATGATATCAATATGAAATTTACATTATTTTACGATGGCACACTGAAGACAAGGACATATGGGGAAGACATTTTTTTTTCTCTCAATTATTAACGATTGGGGTCCTAATATCGCTTTGAGATAATTTATAAAATTGAATGAAAGACTAAGGAAGGGGATAAAATAAACTACTCAACACTAATTTCGTCGCACACCAAAATGTCGCCCCTGTTATGACGTGAATAACTTTTTTCAGTTTAGAACAATTTGAATTTGGTTCACACTGTTCGATAGCCCAGTCCTTCAGCTATAATCTCGTACTTCATTGAAACATAAGGGTAATCACATAAAATCCCTACATGGTGTTTTCCGACACTGTGCGAAATTTCGGAATATTCAAAAGGCTTTCAAATGGTGAAAATTTTTTTTTTCTCAACTTGGACAACAGAGGCATGTAGATGATCTCATTACCTCGAGATATTCCGCGAATCAACTTCCTATCTCTCTTATTTACAGAGTGATCTCAAAAAATCAACTTTTTGGTTTTGCAGCCATAACTTTTTTCCACGTCAACCGATTTTGTAAATCCTAGGCTCATTTTGAAGATAAAACTTCAGATGAAGAGATCTGAATATCAGAATTGACTCAAGATGGCTATCAAAGATCTAGAGTTTTCTTGAAAGTGACCCAAATCTGGAACGCCCTTCGAATCTTGGTTGGGAGGAGAATTGAATGAAAATCAACTTGTTCTCGGAAAAACAATTCATTCTGGATGCGTCTTCCTAGCTCTCAGTAGTCAAGAATTGTGCGTGAGAAAACACAATTGAATCATGTTCTTGCAAAAACATTAGATCATTTCTCCTCTGTAATGCATGGCCCGCCGTATCCAACGTTACAAGAATCACAATGAGTGACAGACAAACCCGACCAGCTGAGGCTCTTCATAAATGGTGTACCAACAAGAGCAACGGATTTTGATTTTTTCAATAAAGTGATTTTTTAACAGTTGTCACGTACATAACATGCGATTTAAGAATATGGAGAAGTATTCAAGCAAACAACGTTTATTTATTGTAAAAACGCATTTCAAAAATGGTGAAAGTTTCACGGAAACAGTTTGCCAATTACGTAAAGTTTTCAGTCGCAATAATGCGCCGAACGAATCGACAGTAATAATCAAACAATTCGTGTCGGAGATAAGCCCTTTGAATGGATCGGACTGTCGTGTTTAGCAGATCCGCGATTTGGAGGGAAGATAACGCTTGTTCCCTCATTTGTGGAATCAGTTCCAACTGGTCGGGCGTTAGATGCGGCATCGAAACTATCAAAATCTGTTTATGATTCGAAAACGACGTCTAACCTGACTTGTCAGTCACTTACTGTGATTCTTGTAACGTTGGTTACGGGCCATGCATTACAGAGGAGAAATGGTCTGATGTTTTTGCAAGAACATGTTTCAATTGTGTTTTCTCACGCAAATTCTTGAGTACTGAGAGCGAGGAAAATATGGACGCATCCAGAATGAATTGTTTTTCCGAGAACAAGTTGATTTTCATTCAATTCTCCTCCAAACCGAGATTCGGAGGGCGTTCCATATTTGGGTCACTTTCAAGAAAACTCTAGATCTTTGATAGCCATCTTGAGTCAATTCTGATATTCAGATCTCTTCATCTGGAGCTTAATCTTCAAAATAAGCCTAAGATTTCCAAAATCGGTTGACGCGGAAAAAAGTTATGGCTGCAAAACCAAAAAGTTGATTTTTTGAGATCACTCTGTAAATAAGAGAGATAGGAAGTTGATTCGTGAAATATCTCGAGGTAATGAGATCATCTTCATGTCTCTGTTGTCGAAGTTGAGAAAAAAATTTTTTTCACCATTTGAGAGCCTTCTGAATATTCCGAAATTTTGCACAGTGCCGGAAAACACCATGTAGAGATTTTATGTGAATACCTTTATGTTTCAATGAAGTACCAGATTATAGCTGAAGGACTGGGCTATCGAACAGTATGAACCAAATTCAAATTCTTCTAAACTGAAAAGAGTTATTCACATTATAACAGGGGCGATATTTTGGTGTGCGACGAAATTAGTGTTGAGTAGTTTAGTATTCAGTCCATGTGATTTCATGGTCGTGGTAGTCATGAATTATGTTTTTCTAGGCCACAGTCAAATAAATATCACGATCCACAGTCAAAATAACGGACTTGTGCCACCGCCGCCACCAGGATTCGTACAACAACCTCCAAATACACATATGAACTCTTTCGGTAACGTTTCCAAGTCTAATTTCGAATGCTCTTAATATTTTTCGAATATTTTTCAGGTAGCAAAATTTTACCTTACCTAAATATGTCTAATAGTCAACAACAAGTCAATAGTCAAACACCATCAAATAATTGGCCTAGTAATTTTAGTTCTCATTTACAACAACAGCAGCAGCAACCACCGAAAAGTAAGTCGATAATATCTCTGTTATTATGAAACTTTTATTGAGGCGATATTTGGTTGATCTGTATATTTCAATGAATTCTACATCCTCTATAGATGTCGTACATTTAAGAACACCCTGTCTGTTAGGCAAATGATTTTGAGTTCAAATTATTGTACCAATATTTCAGTATTTGTGAAACATTTGTTTTCAAGATTTTTGTGGAACTCATTGTTTGTACATTATTCCAGATATTTTTGGGATTTTCTCTCGTCTTTATGAAATTGAGTTGCTTATCGTTTCCATTGGTATACGATCCCATTCTTCCACTAATGCATCTGCCATTTCTGCGAGATTTTCCGGAGACCTCTCGCGAGAACGTACCCTTCTCCCTAATTCATCCCACAAATGTTCTATAGGATTCATATCGGGGCTTCTCACAGACCATTGTAATGTGGTAATACCAGTAGCTTCTGAGAAGTTTCGCACTATTGCTGCGGTGTGTGGTCGGGCATTACCCTGCATCAATATAAAATGATTGCCCACTAACTCTGCATAAGGTAAGACATACTGCTCTAAAATGTCAATGTAAATTTGGGCATTCATCGACTGCCTCACCGGAAAAACATGATGGGGTGTATTTCCATTCATTGAAATCCCTCCCCACACCATAACGGACCCACCATTAAAACTTTCGCATTCTGTTATTAAATTTTGATTAAACCGTTCACCAGTTCTTCTCCACACTCGTTTTCTTCCATCCACCATGTTAAGGCAAAACCTTGACTCATCCGTAAACAAGACATTCGACCATTCAGAAATATTCCACTGTCCTTAATTTTCAACAAAATTTCGTCTAGCAGCACGATGTTCGGGCAATAATTTGGTACCTTCTGCAGGTCTCCTAGCTTTTAAATTAACTTCTTTTAGACGTCTAAATACCGTCTGCTTACTTACTGCAATATCACGAATTTGGCGAAGATCTTGCTGAACATTTACCGCAGTATTTGATCGATTCCGTAAAATCCGCAATCTCAAGAAGCGATCATCTCTTTGAGAAGTTTTTCGGGGGCAACCAGAACCGACCCTCCGAGCGGTGCTTCCTGTTTGTTCGTACTTGCGGATTGCTCTACGAGCAGTTGCTTCATGAACTCCCACTGCACGAGCGGCGTAACGTTTACTACGCCCATCGTTTAATAATGCAACTAATCTTGCTACTTGTTCAGGATTTATTTAAGGCATTTTATGTAATTTTAGTCAATAAAACAAGACACTTAATTAATGACACAACAACAAATGGTCAACTATGGAGGCATACAACAAATTAGTTGCTATGGCAACGGCATTTGTTTTTTTAAAGACAATGTGATCCTACCAGAGTACAACCCAAACAATTTTGAGTACTCTTATCCTTCAATAAATTTAATTTGTGGGATAAGCGTAAGGTATCAGCAAAAAAGCTATAATTCGGAAAATTTTAGGGATAAATCAATGAATAAAAAACAAAATGCTCGCAAAAGAAGCCTCTTTCGTATAGGGTGTAAGCACTTTCTATGCCATTACTCAATTAACACACAGGGTGAGTCAAAAATTGAGAATAAATCATGGTTCGAGTTATTCCACCACCATCAAGGAGGCTTTGAAAAAATTTTCACCTCTTTATTTTCTTTCTAAAGACAAATGCATTACCTACCAACAAATAATCGGCCTACTATTTTTTATTTTTTTTAAGAAGATAGGTCAAATATCAAATGCGTCACTTTTTTTGGAACTGAGTGTAGTATTCATATAGAGACCAGGAGAGAAAATCCAAAAAAATGGAATAATGAATATACCACCTCCTCGATTAACCTACAGACAGTATCATTGTTTGTAAACTTTTTGAAATTTAGTTGGCATTCCAGCAAGTAACTGCTGAGTCGATAAAAAAAGAAACAATTTTATTGATTCAATGACGATTTTTCTTTTCAGATATGAGCAACACGTGTAACGATTGGAAAGTATTAGATCCCGCAATCCTATCTTCTAGCCGTCATTATCCCTTAGCAAATATGTCCCAAACGAATAGAGAACATTATCCAAATATTTCACAATTAGGAACACAACAAATACAGAATGGAGCTCCGTTGCGGTATGAATTCACAAATAACGCATTCTCAAATTTCACACAACAATTACAGCCAAATAATTTCAATAACATCTCACACTTGAATTCACCACAGAACCTGAATTGGTTCGGCAGCGATATAAATTCACAAATTTCGAGCCCTCCCGGCTTCAGAAGCAACCAAGCCACCAAGCAGCAAGAGTGTTGAAACACGAGAAACAAAATGAACGTGTATGGGTCACTTTTTTTATTTCAATGTCAAATTAATTTATTCGCCCGAAGATCTTCCGTTTCGAAGGTTTCCAGAAGCTAGCAAGGCTCTTGAGCGGTTTTCATTAGCATTATTAGTCCGTTCTCGAAATATCCGGCTTCGAAAAATAAAATGTGGATGGTAAAGATGGGTGTGTTGGGTCTATCTCATTTTGGGGATGTTGAAAATTTTATTCATACTGTAACTTTTTGCACTTTTGGGACTGAATATGTCTTTAGCAGTATTATTTCAAATAGTTGGAGAGCCGGTTGCACATTTTTAATGGAAACACCCTCTTAAAATTTGAAGTTGTAAAGCGATTTTGATAAATTTTTTTTTGTAATGTCAAGTACTAAAAGATCTACCTTGGGTCAAAATTCGAAATGTGTATTCCAATTTTTCAGGGCATACTATAATATTTTTTCCTAGTCGAAAATCGGGATTGTTTATCAGCGATTTTTTTATTGAAAAAATCACTACGCCACTGGATTCAGAGTGCCTCTAAACAAGTGTGACCGAAATTTCATGAAAAAATATTCATTAATAACAAAGTTATGACATTTCGAAAATCAATAGATATACAGGGTATGTCACGACGAGCCCCTGTATATCTATTGATTTTCGAAATGTCATAACTTTGTTATTAATGAATATTTTTTCATGAAATTTTGGTCACATCTGTTTAGAGGCACTCTGAATCCAGTGGCGTAGTGATTTTTTCAATAAAAAAATCGCTGATAAATCCCGATTTTCGACTAAAGAATAATATCGTAGTATGCCCTGAAAATTGAAATAAACATTTCAAATTTTGTCCCAAGGTAGATCTTTTAGTACTTGACATTTAAAAAAAACATAATTAAAATCGGTTTACAACTTCAAATTTTAGGGGGGCGTTTCCATTAAAAATGGGTCACACTGTATGTTCCAGAGGCATGTGAAACATTGTATTTTATCGAACGGCACCTGTGCCAATCACTATCCTGAGCAATATTTCAATATTTCCGAGAATATTTGGTCCCTGTCTAAAGATAATATCCGATGGACCAGTGTAAAACTTGACATATTATGGATTTGAATACTTCTAGTGCGAGCCTCACATGAGTTTTACAATGGTTCATCGGATATTATCTTTCAACGGAGGCGAAATATTTTCGGAAATATTGACTCTGTGCCATCAACTTAGTTTACAAAGGGGGCATTATCCCCTTTTATTTGCTTTTCATTGTTTCAACTCGTTATCACATGAAGAAAGTAGGTAGGTAATTGAAATATGCCATTCTATAGGTATTGAATGGCATTTTTATTATCTCTTTATCAAATCGCGAAATTAAGTGCAAGAATGTCTTATAATCAACTGGTACTTGTCAAATCAAGTTGTGACAGCGACAAGTTATCCAGAAAGTGTGAAAAATAGCCGTGGTACCAGAGTAACTCGGTCCCTTGAGTGGTCGTTTCTCCCTTTGGGCTGAGCCCTCAGAAATCTCACTCCACTTGGGAATTAAATGGGTCACTTTAGTGCCTTGGTAATTGATATACTGTACCGGGTGTCCCAGAGATATCAGGTCGGCAGATATCCGAGTATTTTCAGGACAAAAGAAAAATAAAGATTGTGTTATGTTTTCAGTTCAAATCTAACTACCCACTACACCCCTAATTTTGATAAATCAAAATGAACCCTTTTATGTTCCAAAGAGGGTAAAACGGATGTTTTGTTTGATGCTTATAGAAGTTATTGATTATTTTCAAAGAAATGTTCTTGTTCAAGAAGCTCGATTTTACGTTAATCTGATCTGATAGGTAGGCTTATAGGAAAGAAAAAGTGGCAATCATTCAATTTCTTCAAATAACTAAATAAGGGGTTTTAGGAAATTTCGTTTTTTTTTTCGTATATCTCCGAAAGTATTCGGAATTTTCCACGTTTCAAAACGGCATTTTGTTAGTCATAAAATTGCGCAACTTTGCCATCAATTAACCGACCCTGTATATCTCACGGTTTACGAGATCCCAATGATTAGGCTCGAATTCCAGCCACCCTGTACTATCATCGGTAATCAAATTTTCCAAATTGAAACATCAAATACCCTGTATATACGTTTTAGATCATAAAAACGTACTTGACAGATTCTCTAATCATGGGAGTACCCATTCTTGGATTGATTGAATTATTTTGTGTATCTCAATTTTTATGCCGGCGTCGTCTAGGTGGGGTCTCAGATAGCCAGACAAATTTTAAATCACTGATATTTCAATTTGAATGCATGCACATTTCTTTGGTTGCCAAAGATCATGTTTTTTACCCGTGAGAATTTCGCCATCTATATGTCTTTCATGATATCTCATGAATTAAACTTATTATAAAAAGTTTCTGTTTATAATCATGAAGTGAATACATCTAAAAACTCATTTCACATACAAATCTGGAAATATTACAATTGATTTTTTTCCCTGGAGTTTCTAATTATGGGGTACATCAGACCCCATCTGGGTGAGAATGTACCGATTTTCCACCTGGGTGACGCCGGGTTAATAACAATGTCTCTGGAGAATTCAAAACAACCAAGAAGAGAGAAAAAAAAAATGTCCTCATCTGTCCTTGCCTTCAGTGTTCCAACATAAAAAATGAAAACTTGATGTTGCTAACACTGGAATACTGGAAATGAGAAGAAATGAAGAAGACCATTCTAACCTTTTTTATAGTGAGGTTAATATCATCTTCTCCATTTTTTGCCATTGCCAATATTACCAACATAAAATTTCCATCATTTCACGTTGGAACACTGAAGACAATGACAGATGAGGAAGAGATTTTTCTCTCAATGCTAGCTGAACTGGGAGTAGTGGGTAGTTGAATAAAAGGCTGATCTGAACTCAATATTTTGGAGAGCTTCTTTAATTTCGTTGTGTATTCAATAAATCAAGATATCTGCTGTTCTGACATTTCTATGATACCCGGTATTTCGTGGCCGAGAGAAATTTCGGCAAAGTAGATGGATAGATCTGACAAAACTTCGACAATTTAGCATGCTACTTACTATGAATGGGGAATCCATCTACTGGGGGGAACTAATGGAACCTTCGAACGAAATGGTAATGGTCTTGAGTTATGAACATATTCCGTTTTTTTTTCCTGTAGTGCAATATATGTATTTGGTCAGGATAAAGTCGATCCCATACAAGTATATAATTTTTGAAAAGTACTACAAGTGCTTGAAGTATATTATAAAATTGTGGGTGCTTGGCCTACAAGTTCAAGAAACAAGTAAAACTAATATCTTAATTATATTCCTTTGAGTATATAAAATACAACAACTAAATATAATAAATCGTATAAATTGAATCTAGTGCAGTATTCTTTTTGTTCCTTTCCCAAACAGTATTTTATCACAGCCTCTGACACTCAATTTCCCATCATTATTTGACATTTGAAGTAGAAACATCTGTCGTCACAACCTTTTCATCAATCTTGGGTTGGTTTAGTACGTTTCGAGCGTATACACGTCTGGCAGGAATAATTTTCCTATTCGCTGTACAAGTCTTGCGAGTATGAACAACAATGACAACAAATATGGCGACCATGGTTCTGAGTTTCATAATTACGTGTTTTATTCGAAAATAATTTATTTGTTGAAGTGTATATTCCAGAACCTCATTTTTCCCTGATGAAAAAACTTGAATTATTGCATGAACTTTTATTGTTTACAATGAAGAAACCAGTACCTACCTTATAATAATATGATATACATTTTCTGAAGCACAATTAGAATCATTGTATAAATGTTGCAATGCAATGATCCGATCTTGATAATAACTCAATTGCTGGAGATCCTTGTTTATGTAAATCGATGATATTTTGTTCATTCTGAGCAGCCTCTCCAACCATATCTTCTTTTCCAACCCCTTCACTAGAATTCCATCTCCTACACAAAAGCTAGTGAAGTTTCTTGATGAATTCAATTATTTCTTCATACCTATACCATATTGTTGTAATAGCTGATTGCATATATGGTTCCATTCTAGTCCATGCAAGTGTTGAGTGGACCATTCCGACCATTCTATATGTTTGAAAACTGTGGAATTGTAGTGTGATATCAATGGTGAATGCCACCATAGTCCACATCGAAATGGCAATTTCTCTGCACAAAATGTAATTTTTTCCATACTGGAAACCTTGTACGTATATTAAGAAGTCAACTTATTATTCACTATTTTGCAAAATGATTTCGAAATAACCAATTTGCAATGAGTGTATACGGCAATGTTTTTGTTGTTCATACTCGGTTTGAAATTTGACGTTTAATAGAGCCATCTATTGGTTCGTGATTTTCGCGAATAGAGAAACGATTCGTGGGCGTCGATGCCCCACCTACTCGAGTCTGGCACGTGTGGCAAACAATTAATAAATATCCCTTCGGTCGGGCGTGATCTCAGCGCAAAATGGACTCTCCAAAGAGGTGTTGATGCAATACGTCGTCCGGTTTCTCTATAGGAAAATTATTCTTGCCACACGTGTATATGCTCTTCAGCTAAATTTCATCTTAAAATTCTATAACAGTAGGATTTGAAAGCTAGTGAAAATTGAAACATAAAATTACTTCCTATACTTGGATCAATTTTCAGTTTCAAGAGAAACTATGGTTATATGGATACATGGAGGGTAAAAATCTCTCCCAAAGTTGTCACTACAATATGCCACAGCAAAAAGGGAAATGTCCAATTGTTTTGACAACTTGAAGGAAATGAAATATGGCATGAAAATAATATTTTATTTTTCAATAATAGATACAAGTTAGAGTATTTGCTTACAACCAAATAAAACTTAATTCAATTCCTAACTTATCATTAACCAAATATACACAAAATTTTCAGTCAAACATACATAAATATGTTATAATGATATTATAATACAGTCCTTGTTAGCTATCAATGGACTGTATCATATTATAATCAATTTTTTTTAT